TGTACTACTTACTCCCTGCACCTTTCTCACCCAGTCCCCTACCTCTCCTCCCCTCTGGCAACCATCAGTCGGTTCTCTGCATCTAAAAGTCTATGCTCTTTTAAAACTGCTTCAAAACTGCCCTCTTGAAATGGAACTTTCATTATCAGTTTTGGAAGTATTTTAATGTCTCTTCAAAATCGCTCTTTGGGCACGAACCAAGCCAAAACACCCAAGATGCCTTTGGATGAGTCTACCCTTTCTCATAGTGTAAAAAAAAACCCCAAAAACAGGAAAGGATAGCTTAATTTGGATATGCAAAATGTATATTGAGTGAATGCTTGCAGTGTTTGAAGTAGAAGGTAAGAGTCATTTATTCAAAGGGCCAGATGAATGAAAACATTACAGCGATTATGAATAATTAATTTCAATGACAGTGGGCTTCTTTATTCTTATACTAGATGTGAATTTCTCAACAGTGGCACTATTGACATTGCCCTGGATAATTCCTTGTTGGGGGCAGGAGGAAGAAAGAGAAGTTGCCTGTGTACTGTAGAATTTTAGGTGGCATTCCCGCTCTCTACCCACTAGATGCCAGTTGCAACCTGCCCCTGAGTGTGACAACCAAAAATGTCTCTGACATTGTCCAAATCATCCCCCTTGCACTAGAATGATGTGTCAGGAGGACGTTTGGGGAGGGAGGAGATGCTGGTCAAGGAGACTTCCTATATTTTATGTTGAGCAAGTAGAATTTGGTACTGTTTCCTGGGATTAAAAAAAAAAAGCAAAGCTGTGATATGGGAAGCAGAGAAGAATCCAGAATTTGCTTTTTAAAAAGTCCAACTCCTGATTAGATTACCTGAGTCAGCAGGTCAGTGTAGGACGCTCTTGGACAAATTGCTTTTTTATTGCCCTCGAGCTGTACTTGGTTGGCTGGCTGTATCATCTCATAAAGAAGTGTCTTATAGAGGGAATCTGATATTTGTAAATGATCTCGTGCCTCAGTCAAAAGGGGCTGATTTCAAAATATAAAACACTACCTTTACAAAAAAAAGAAGAAGGAAGAGGAGAAGGGGGAACCTCACTATTTAAAATAGGAAGAAAGTAAAGAGCTTAGTCAGTGAAAAGCATTTTCTCCACTCGGGTTTTCTGGACCTTTGGATTGACTTCTTGACTCAGGCAATCTAATCAGGGTTTGAAGCTAATTTTGGATTCGGTGTTCTCCAGCCAAGAGAATTGTAGCCACAACCTCCCTCCAGAAAGCAGTCTGAATGAGACTTTTCAAAGTAGGGAAACAGTTCAACCATAATGCAGACATGTGTGAGGGTGGGGCAAAGGGGTAATGGCCACCGTAAGAGAAGGTAAGTACAGACTGAAGGTAAGTAGGCAACTCCATAGACTATAACAGGACATATTACAGGGCAATTTACATATGGGAAATTGGGCTGGAGTGAACAGATGGCAAAGCAGTTTTTTGCAAATTATTCTCCTCAGACAGACACCTGTTACAATACATTTTAAAATATATATATGTTTTTATTGATTTTAGAGAGGAAGGGAAAGGGAGAGAGAGAGAAACTTTCTTGATGAAGAGAGAAAGAAACATCAATTAGCTGCCTCCTGCCTACCTCGAGCCCGTGACCTAGACATGTGCCCTGACCGGGAATATACCTGGCTTTCTTACAATTGTTGTGGTAGAAACGTTGATCTGACATAGTCTGCTACATCTACCCCAAATCAGAAGCACCCAGCCAACTTCTGTTTGAAGTGCATAGGTCTATGAATATTTGTAAAAGGGCACAGTACTATGAACTCAGTGGCTCAATTATGTGTAAACTAGAAGCCCGTTGCATGAAATTTGGCAGGGGGGGGGGGGTCCCTCAATCTAGCCTGCACCCTCTTTCAGTCCAGGAGCCCTTGGGGGATGTCTGACTGACAGCTTAGGCCTACTCCCCATGGGAAGTGGGCTTAGCCATAGTCGGACATCCTGAGCGCTGCTGCAAAGGCGGGAGAGGCTCCCCTCACCACCGCTGTGCTAGCCAGCTGTGAGCCCAGCATCAGGCTGAGCAGCGCTCCCCTTGTGGGAGCACACTGACCACCAGGGGGCAGCTCCTGCATTGAGCGTCTGCCCCCTGGTGGTCAGTTCACGTCATAGTGACCAGTCCTTCTGTCATTCAGTCGATTTGCATATCAGCCTTTTATTATATAGGGTCATTTATGCATGAGAAAACAAAGACTCAATGCACATGAATCATAGCATGTTCTGGTTAATGTGCCCCCAAAAAATTTCATTAAAGTAAAGAATATTGAAATGATAGAGAAGTCATCTGGTCAGCTGGTCAAAGATAGTGGGAATGACATATTCATATCAGACAAAGTAGCCTTTGGATCATAGAAAGTTACCAGGGATAAAGATGGGCATTACATAATGATAAAAAGGCCAAGAAGACACAACCATCCTAAATGTGTTTGCACCCAATACCACAACTTCCAATTACATGAAGCAAAATCTGTTAGATCTGAAAGGAAAAACAAAGTCTCTAATTTTTGTTAAAATCTTCACTACTCTTCTCCCAGTAATCAATAGAAACAGTATACAGAAAAAACAAACAAACAAACAAACAGAAAACCTTAACAGCAACCAACTAGATCTAACTGACATTTATCTAACACTCCACTCAATCAATAGCAGAATATATCTCCTTGCATTTGCAATATTCACCCAGCCAGATGATATCTTGGGTTATAAGGCAAGTCCTAATCGATTTGACATAAAAAATAAATTTTCTGACTATACAGTAATAGATTTGAACTAGAAATCAATAACCCAAAGATAACAGGAAAATCTACAGAGACTTGGAAAGGAAACAACACATTGCTAAATAATTCATGGCTCAAAGAGTAAGTCTCGAGGGAGATTAGAAGATACTTGGAACTGAATGAAAATTCGAAATAGAGGAGTGAAAATCCTGATTTCCCAGGTGAGATTATCAATTGGGCAGTCGAGAGTTTTGTATAAAGAGGAGCTTCCCTCTGATGAAACTGTTTCTTTTCTCATGGTTTGAAGACAGTATTAAAATTTTTGGTGTGAGCCACAATCATCTTGGCCATAATAGAGGAAAGCTTATGCATACTGGATTTCCTCTGTTAGGTTGCTCTTTATGATATGATACTGAGTATACATGCCAGTATAAGCTGATACCGAGCATATTGATTTCAGAGTGAGGAAGGGGGAGGGAGAGAGGGCTAGAAACATCAATGATGAGAATCATTGATTGGCTGCCACCTGCATGACCCCTACAGGGGATCGAGCCCGCAACCCAGGCATGTGCCCTGTCCTGGTTGATGAGTCGACACTTAACCACACCAGATGGGCATCTAGATAGATCTTACCCTGTAAGTCAGTGACCAAATGACTCACATTTAAGACAAGATGTTCTGGAGGAAATGAATGGATAGACAGATAATTTGCAGCATGGGTGGAGACCTTCCTATTTCCACAATCTGCTTAGGTTGGAAGAAATCCTCTGCAACTAAACCTAAGGGCTTCATCCACCCACACCCTCACTCAAAACACCAACTCCAAGAGCCAACCCTCACTGTGCAAGATTAAGTTCATCTTCACTGAGTTCAATGGATTTTCTAATTGGCAAGTTAGGCGTGGGCTCAACTTTCCATAGAATATGGTGCACTCTCATTTTCTTTCCCAAACTGCTAGTCTTTTGCCTTACAGTTGCTGTGCAATACCACCTAATGAGCTCCCTTTAAAACATAAGGAAATGGCCAGGCTGGTGTGGCTCAGTGGTTGAGTGTCAACCTATGAACCAGGAGGTCATGATTCCATTCCCAGACAGGGCACATGCCTGGGTTATGGGCTTGATCCCCAGTATGGGACATACAGGAGGCAGCCGATCAGTGATTCTCATCATTGATGTTTCTAACCCTCTCGCTTTCTCCCTTACTCTCTGAAATCAATAAAAATATATATTCTAAAAAAATAAAACACAAGGAAATGCTTTGGAGTTAGACAATCACCTGGGGACTACAAAGAGTAGTGCCTGAATACACTGAAAAAGGAAAAAGGGAGACTATTGGCTTTTGGTCCTCTGATTCAACTATAAGACCCAGCTGCCCTTTTTTTTTAATCCTCACCTAAGGATACGTGTATTGATGAGAGAGAGAGAAAAAGAGAGAGAGAAAGAGAAACATCAATGTAAGAGAGAAACATCGATCAATTGCCTCCCATACAGGCCCCAACTAGGGATCAAATCTGTAACCTAGGTATGTGCCTGACCAGGAATGGAACCAGTAACATTTTGGTGCTCAAGATGATGCTCAACCAACTGAACCATTTTGGCCAGGATCAAATATAAAGTCTTAACTACAGAAAAGATGATTCCCTTCAATCTCTGTGGAAGTCTGAAATAGTTTATCTGGTTTTTAGTTCATTGTTTCCATGGTGCCATCTCTATCTCAAAGTGACTGCAGATTAAGCTAAGTAATTTATGCATTTTTGTTTTTATTCAGAAGCCTTCAGTAGATCCTGATTAGAGATCAAATATGAGATGTTTCCCATGTCTTCTATGAGTCTGTGGCTAATGGAGAGAGAAACAAAGGCATGTTATTGTGCAATTAGAATTATCTAAGGAGATTGCTATCAAAGACTGAGGCAGGTTCTAACGTAGTGACAGAAAATTGTTGCTTTTTGAGCTTGTGAAAAGAATTTGACTCGTGAGATAGTACTGATTTTTAAGTAGGATAATCAGTTGGGAAATAGACTTTTAAAACTTTTTTTAAAGTTTTTAACTTTTTCTTGGGTCTGCTACTTGGTAAAAAATAAGTTTATTCTGAAACTCTCATGCTTCTGTTAAATGAAACACTGAAAATGAAGATAACATATAATTATTCAATTTTACAAAAAGAGAGAGAGGGAGAGAGAGAGAGAGAGTGAGAGAGAGAGAGAGAGAGAAATAGTTCAAGGGCAGTCACGTGATTGTGATTTTTGTCAGGCCAACAGAACTGAGATCATAACTTCTTCTGAAAATAGTCTCCCCAGGAACTTTCCACTGAAGCCAAACAGTTAAAGCAAAACCTATAGATTAGGCCAAGTTCAGGGAAGAATGTGACTTGCTTCCTTCTATAAAAGGAGAGCACTGGGTAAAATGTGTTTCTAGATTATGTGCTTCACGTTTCAAAGGTAAGTTCATGGTCTTTTTCTGTTTTGTTTGAGAGTGTGTGTGTTTTTTTTCTATCACAAAATTATGAATAAGTCTTTAGGAATTGAAAGCCAACTATCTGTAGAGAAACTATTTTGAAAATGAATGGACTATTTGGATGTGTTTGGACATCTGGTATTTAAAATTGTAAAGATGAAAGCATTGAGTTATAACATACGTTTTTTTAAAGTTTTGCAACTGTTATGTGGTTTCGAGCCAGAAACTGAATGTAGGAATAAGCTGAAATCGGTTCAGAGATTGCGGAGAACTAAGAATACTGAGAATTCATTTATAAACCTGAATTGCCTTTGAAGGTCTTTACTTTTATTGCACAATAACTTGGGGGTATTGCGAAAAACTGTTTTTCTGACTTTGAGTCTGTTTATGAAAAACATTTACAGAAACACAGGGGTGGGCAAACGCAGGTTGACAGTTGTGAGAACACAAAGCACAGCGTTTATTCTTGTGTTATAATTATTTGCTAATTACTGTCTCATTTTCCATACGATAGACTGTGAACCTGCCTTTCACACCCTTGCATGTCTATTGTTCCTGCCTCTCACGCTTGGGCTCTAAGAATTTTAGAAATGAAAGCTGCCTTCCAGGGTTTTCTGCTCTGTGCACACCACATATTGGGTCCAAATGTGAAATGTGCAGCTTTTCCTCATCCCAACAATCGTTTGCTTTGCAGGACACAGAGCTTTCACACGCCTGCGGTGTAAACATTTTGTTCCGAATGCAACAACCATAGGACAGGGGGAAGATCAGATTTGGTTCCCTTTGAAACTGCCTACTGCTTGTATAAAAAGGTTGTTAGTCTTTGGATAAACTACAGAACATACGTAAGTTCAGGAAAAATACAGTAGGCGATGCTAACTTAAAATGGAACGGCTAAGGGGTTGGAGCCACGCTGACATTTTCATGCTACATTGGGCTGTGGCTGATTCCACTGAGGGGAGATCACCCTCTGGGCCAGTTTACCCACCTGCACAGCCCTGCACAGTTGCTTTAAAAGTGGTTATTCTGGCCCTGGATGGTTTTGCTCAGTGATTAGAGCATCGACCTGCAGACCAAAGGGTCACAGGTTCAATTCCTAGTCAAGGGCTCATACCTGGGTTGCAAATTCAATCCTCAGCCCCAGTCGGGGGGTGGGTTGGGGTGGGGGAGAGTATGGGAGGCAACCAGTCGATGTGTCTCTCTCACATCAGAGGGGGTGAGGATTTTTTAAGTGGTTACTCTGAATTCTCTGCACTAGAACCATCTATGGGGATCCTGAGCCCCTCTCACTGGACACCCTCACCTCATGCTTTTTTCCAAGAATCTCTTCCTCCCTCCGCCTGCCTCTCCATGGGCTCTCCAGCCTCTTCACTCAGTCCTCTCCTCCCTAGTCTTGCCTCTCGGACTCACGAAACATCCACGTGTAGGTTCTTCCTCTGGCAATGCCCTCGGAGGCTGTCTTGGCTAATAAGCCCGACATTGGAACCAGCTTCCAGACCCATTTCTCGAGCTTTATATCTAGGAAATAGCACAGCCTTGTCGGCATCTTCTTCCACAAATGGAATGAGAGCTTCAGGCAGGGGCACACTCACCCACTCGTTATCAGGATGGAGGAGTCCATGACAACGGCCTGCTTTCTATCCCTGGCCAATGCTGTGTACACATTGAGGGAGCAGACTGCTTGCTCCAGGTTCAGGACTTAAAAGCCAAATTCAGGGTGGAGATGCTGCTCTGTGCTCAAAAGTCCTGACCTAGTCTTCCGAGTCACTGGGCATGCTTCCCAGAAAACTAGAGATCATCCCAGAATCCCCTTACTTCGTAGAGATCAGCTCAGATGCACAGTTTGCTCCTGCAGTGAGCTTTGCGAGCATTCCCGTCCCACGGTGTTCAGGGCAGGCTCAGCAGGTCGTGTTCTGTGATATTGGTTATTAGGCAATGGGAAGATGTGGCGCAGTTGTTAGACATTGAGGCACCTCCTTCTGGGAGGTATTCTGGGCCCTTGCTGGAAAAAAAAACACAACAAAAACTATGTATAAATTCCCCTACCTAATCCTCACCACCACAACTCCAACACTCTCTCTCCTCTCTCTCCTGTGCTCAAGGTAGCATATGCTAAATCTGTGACTTGCTACTTTTACTTGGAGGAGGGCTGTGGTCTACTGTGTAGTCCTGGTGCAATATCTACAGAAGCATAATACTGCTCTCTGCAGACAATTTTGGGCAGAGTCCCTGGAATGTTTTCACAATAAGCTGACCTCCACACAAGTCAGAGGGTTCTGGGTTTTTCACCCAGCTAACGCCTGTCTGAGCGCAGTCGGGTTGAATTTCTACCTCATCTGGAGCCCAAGCTCAAATGCATGACAACCTCCCCATAGGAAACTATACAGTCTATCAGCAAATCTAATAAGTACCCAGGAAAAATAAATCTAACTTATATATACTTTAAATTAGAGATTGAGCCAAATTTTGTAATAACCAGAATGTTTCTGGTTAGGTTTCAGCAGAGGTTAAGTACCTAGAAAGTCTTTCTTTTATGAAGGAATAGGTTTTCATGAAAAAGAAAAGATCATTCCCTTGGAAAGGCCAAAATTTAAGAGTAACCATTATGCCCTGGTGGTTTTACTCAGTAGTTAGAGTGTCAGCCCACAGACTGAAGGATCACGGGTTCAATTCTGGTCAAGGACACGTACCTCAGTTTCAGACTGAATTCCCTGAATCCCCAGCCCCAGTCAAGGCAAGTGTGGGAGGCAACCCATCCATGTGTCTCTCTCATATCAATGTTTCCCTTTCTCTGTCTCTCCCTCTCCCTTCCACTCTCTCTAAAAATCAATGGAAAAACTATCCTTGGGTGAGGATGAACAACAACAGACAGATTCCAAAATGGCGGCAGAGTAAGTGGATACTACACTGACACGCTCCCAGGACCAAACTGGAATTACAACTAAAATACAAAATAACCATCCTAAATAAACAACAACGAAATTAAATAAATAATTCTTTTAAGTTTCGAAAGATTTTTTTTTTGAAGAGTAGTTTTTTTAATTATATCTTTAGAATAAGAGGTAAAACATGGAAGGGAGAAAGAAAACTTGATAAAATATAACAGAAGGTAAGAATGTGGGCAAAACTAGAAGCAAAGGAAAACCAGTTTTAACATGAGTATAAAGCACAATGAAAGAAAAATCCTCCAAAACAAGAACTTATTCGTGAGAAAGATGGGGGCAGAGGGGAGCAGGTCCAGTAATAAAATGCTAACTTTGGAACACTCAGATACTAGGCACTCAGATTCAGAACACTGGAGTTCTCAGGCTGCTCGTTTGTGTGTTTGCAGGATTTTTTTTCCCCATTAAGACCTTCATATATGCTTTACCTTCTCCCCTTTTCTTTTCTTATGAAACAGGGCAACATGAGTAAGAGAGAGAGAAGTGTGTGTCAACAAACTGGGGCCTTATTATGCAAGAATTTGCTTAAAAAATGGAGAATGAAAAGGGAGTCCTTAATGGTATGATTCAATATCTGTTTCTCTTCTTTATTTATGATTGAAAAATGTCCATTCCTTGGGAGGTAACTCTGTTTATTTCCCCTCCATAAAACAAAACAAAACAAAACAACACCTTTATACAATAGAAGAAATCTTTCTCAAGATATTTTGATAACAGACTCATCATTTGAGGTCTGAAGGCACTGAAGTTGGTCAGCAGCAGAGAACCCAATCAATTTTTAAAAGTCAATGGTCACACTTTTTTAAAAAATGTATATTTTTTTATTAATTTCAGAGAGGAAGGGGAAGGGAGAGAAAGATAGAAACATCAATGATGAGAGTAAATCATTGATTGGCTGCCTCCTTCACGCCCCTGACAGAGGATCAAGCCCACAACCCAACATATGTGCTGACTGGGAATCAAACCTGTGAACTCCTAGTTCATGGCCCGATGCTCAACCACTGAGCAACAACAGCTGAGCAATGGTCACAGTTTTTACCAGTGTTCCCATGCATAGATCCTTGTGTTAAGATACTGGTATTCTGAAGATGTGGTAAACAAATCAACCCACAGAAATAGCAACTGGCACTTTTCTCTTTTGAACCTTTCTCTAAAAAACAAAGTAAATCATTCTCTTCAAAAATAGTGGGTAATTTAGAAATGTGATTAGTGCCAAGAAGAAAATTAGTATTAGAACTTGTAACTATACCATATAACAAAAAATCCCGGTTAAACTTTGATATTTAAAAAAAGAAAATCAGATAGTCTTAGCTAAGTAGCACTTTTCACTAAGGAGGGATTTTACTGTATATCTATTGTGAAATTTTTTCTACAATCATGCCTTTAGGGAATAGAGTGATTTCTTATTGGTAGTGTTTAAGTGACTAGTATTGATAACTAACAAGATAGTGTTTCTCAGGTCACCAACATACTGTTGAGTTTCCAATGCTAGAATCTTGGCATGTAACCAATACATTACCATTCATTGTGCAATGCCTTGAAACTGCCTCTTACAACATGTGCTTTCAGCAGAATCAAATACAGGCATACTTCGGAGGTATGCGGGTTCAGTTGCAGGCCTCCATAATAAAGTGAGGATCGAAATCAAGCTCTTGGTAATCTTCCTGCTGGTGGAGAGTCTTGCTTTCAACTTGTAAAAAAGCACCATCTGTGAAGTGCAGTAAAGCAGAGCGCAATAAAACGAGATCTGCCTGCACAGCATGAGTAGGTCACCACAGTACTATCAGCTGATAATTTATAATAGCTTGCCACTTTTGCCTCTCATATTTGCATGACCAGTGCATGCTTTCCACTGGCGCTGTGGATCAAAACACTTAAACTCCTAGTAAGCTCTAGCTCAGTGGTTCTCAACCTTCCTAATGCTGCAACCCTTTAATACAGTTCATCATGTTGTGGTGACCCCCAACCATAAAATTATTTTCGTTGCTACTTCATAACTGTAATTTTTCTACTGTTATGAATCGTAATGTAAATATCTGATATGCAGGATGTATTTTCGTTGTTACAAATTGAACATAATTAAAGCATAGTGATTCATCACAAAAACAATATGTAATTATATATGTGTTTTCCGATGGTCTTAGGCAACCCCTGTGAAAGGGTCGTTAAACCCCCAAAGGGGTCGCGACCCACAGGTTGAGAACCGCTGCTCTAGCTGGTTTGGCTCAGTGGGTAGAGTGCTCGCCTGCAGACAAAAGGGTTCTGGGTTTGATTCTGGTCAAGGGCACAGTCCTTGGTTACAGGCTCCTCCCAAGCCTGGGCCCTGGTTAGGGCTTGGGCAGGAGACAACCAGTTGATGTGTTTCTCTCACATGGATGTTTCTCTCTGTCTTTCCCTCTCTCTTCCACTCTCCCTAAAAATCAATGGAAAAATGTCCTTGGGTGAGGATTAACAAAAAACAAATAAACTTCTAGTAATAGTTCATTGATATTACCCAGACTGCTGAAACTTGTACTGTCCCTATTGTAAATGGTTCAGAATGTGTGCTATATTGAAATGAGAAAAGTGAATGAAACAAACTGTATGACCAAATGATTGTGGGTGACTTATTTGAAATCATCATTTTCTTTGTTTTTTTTTCCTCTTGCATTGTGTAGGAATGGTTGAGCTCATTGCTCCTACTGCTTTCTTTGTACCTATATCCTACTACTCATGAAGTCACTGATTTCTCTTCACTGCCTACCATGGACCTGGGACGGGTAGATTCATTTAAACTATCTACTACATTTACGATTGTATACACACCTCTCACCAATATAACCCAACAGATAATGAAAAAAGTTGCCTTGGCCTCCTTGGTAAATGGTGAGTTTTCTAGAAATCTAAGAGGAATTTCTAATGTCAATAGTTGGTTCATTTGACTGCAGGTGTGTGCATTTAATTTGTATTTCCGTTCATAACCATATCAGTTGTCACCATTTCTAGGTAATGAGAGATGTGAATGTATTTTCCCTTTCCAGAGCATAAGAGGCCATATCTAAGTCAAAACTATGAATGTATTTCTTGCCAAGCAAGGGATTACCACTTGCAGTGTGCAGTCTTTCAAAAAAAGAAATTGGCTGATGTTGTGTAGGGTTTGGGGAAACATGGAATACACAAATGGGTAGATGTTGAAAAGGAGGAGTGTTTAGCGATTTGTTGACTTGTAGCTGTGGAAGCTTTGTTACTGGAATGAGACTATTGTTCTAACAGGGGTGGGCAAACTTTTTGACTCGAGGGCCACAATGGGATCTTAAACTGGACCGGAGGCCGGGAACAAAAGCATGGATGGAGTGTTTGTGTGAACTAATATAAATTCAAAGTAAACATCATTACATAAAAGGGTACGGTCCTTTTTTTTTTAGTTTTATTCATTTCAAACGGGCCGAATCCCGCCCGCGGGCCGTAGTTTGCCACGGCTGCTAGCATTTGCTTATTATTATATCCAAAAAACAACCAATCTTTTCTCCTCTTAAATTTGATTATAGGAATTTTATTCTCACCTTTCATTACCAAAAGGATTACCTAGCTATGTTTGAAGATTCTGTTGAAGAGTATTCTGAGTTTTAGTTGTTCTCCCTTTAGTGGTGAGGTACTTATCAATGAAAATTAAGATGAGCATTCTTACTGTCAAGATCGTGTCTGCAACAATTTCCTGAAATTTGAGGAGAAGCAGCCTAGAGCAGAGGCAAGAGAACTGGACATAGAGTCAGAGAGCATTTGACGAAAGTAGTTCTGTGTTATGTCTATAGAACGTTTTACAAGTCATCAACTTCTCTGAGTCTCACCATCATATTTAAAATAGAGTTAACAGTATTATATTTTTCATGAATATTCCAGTTGAGAATGAGGGACTTCCAATTCATCTTGTGGTAAGGAAAAGGGGCATCTTTTGTGCCGCTTAAGGAAAAAGAGTATCAAAGCACAGCTGGATAAGTGAGTGTCAACAGCAGAGGGAGAAATATGTGTCTACTTCTCTGGTCTATAGCAATGTGTGCTGCCTTCATTCACAGGTAGGCTCCCCCCAAAAGACGCAGAGTTAGTCTTCAGAATCTCCCGTGTTAGTCCTACCGCATAAACAGATCTTTCCCAACATTTCAAAATAATTTTGGAAAATATACCCATGAAACAATGGTCTTCTTTAGATAAGTCTGGATCTTGGTCCGTCAGGAACTAATCTCATTGGATAGGGAGAGAAAAGTATTGTCATTGTCCATTAGTTGGGTTTCCAGGTCCCCTTTGTAAACCACATCCAAACCACAGGATGTGTGAATGGAAGAGGACCAGTATCGTAGATAAATGTTAGGGTGTTTACTAGAAGGCAGACTGGATGTCAGTCAATTAAAATCAGCAGTTTTGGATTTTTTTTACAAATAGAAACGCACACTTCAAAGGGGAGTCTATGGTGATTGCCCCATAAATGTGAATTGAGTTATAATTTGACAGTGGCTTACTGCTTGCACAACTTTGTGACTATCCTGAAAATCATGAAATTGCACAGTTTAAAAGGATGACTTTTATGGAACTAAATCTCGAATTTTTTTAAAGAACAGAAAAACATGACTTGGGAGGTACTCAGTATTAATTTTAGGCACCATAATTCCCTACCAAGAGCGGTATTATTGTCAAGGCAACCTGTGACTCTTGCTCCACCCAGTCACTGGAAGTTAATGGATTAATGTCTCTTCTTTTTGTCAACCTCTGTGCATAATTCCACTCTGGCCCCAGTAACCATTCATTTTGTGTTTGGATTCTGACTCCGTATCTAAACTCAGTATCCAGAAGTCCACCCGCTCTGCAGTCTGTATTCATGACTGCACATCTCAGATTATGTGGACTTTTCTTTCCTGTCCTTGCTTCCCTGCACACAGGCCAGGAGGGTGTGTGTAGACCTCCATAGCTTTCCCATGGTACCGCATGGAACATCACACCATTAGTTCCACTTGAATCTGAATGTCTACACTGTGCATCTTGCCTGCAAACACTGAATCTGCTTTTGATTCAAGATCTTAACTTGATCTGTCTGACAAACTGAGGCCTACTCTTCCTGTCTACCCTGAAATGAGTTTGTTCCTACCCTGTTTCACAGTGTCCCCCTAGGGGTCCTGATGTCATGAACATGTGCTTCTCAACAATACCTTTGTTAAAAGTCACAGGCAATTGCAATAATAATATTCATTAAATGACTATTGTTTGCTAGATCTTTACATGGAGTTTGTCTTCACAATGAATGTGTTATTATCTTTATTTTACAGTAAGGTCATTTGCAATAATGATAATAAATATTCATGAAATGCTACTATGTGCTAGAGTTGTAGACTTTATTCTATAGTAATAGGATATTATTCTGTAATATTAACAGTATTTTTCTGTATTATATTTATCTGTACTATGCTTACTATTCTGTACTAATAATAATTGATATTAAGTTTATTTTACGAATATGGAAATTGAGTTAAAAAGGTTAAGAGACTTACTCATGATTATAACATATTTAATGAAAAATATTATCCCAGCCCTCACCAGTTTGGCTCAGTGGATAGAGCATCGGCCTTCGGACTGAAAGGTTCCAGGTTTGAATCCAGTCAAGGGCATGTATCTTGGTTGCAGGCACATCCCCAGTAGGAGGTGTGCAGGAGGCAGCTGATCGATGTTTCTCTCTCATCGATGTTTCTAATCATCTCTGTAAAAAATCAAATATATATATAAATAAAAATTCTATTTAAAAAAAAGAAAAGAAAAATATTATCCCAGGGGGAAAATGTTAATTCTATCAAAATACATGCTGCCTGCTCCCTCTACTTTGATCTCCCAGGGGGAAAATGTTAATTCTATCAAAATACATGCTGCCTGCTCCCTCCACTTTGATCTTTGACATTCCCACCCCAATTCTGAACTTTTCTTCCATTTCTTCTCATTTTTTTTCAGTCTTACTAAAGCATCTAGATGGCATTGAACAAATTATTAGCAAAAAATAGGGATTACTTTAGTGATATCAACATAAGCACTCACATATTTTTTAAGTTTTCACTCTTTTTTTTCCAGCATATTAATGATACTGTAAGGTTTGTTAAAGAGAAATGAAGTTACATAGTTATTTCTACCTGATATAAACCAGTACCTAATTGTGAGATATATATATATAATTTTAGATTTATTGTAATGCTAATTATAGATTTATAATTATAGATTATTGTAATGCTAATTCTTCTGTGAGTATATGGTATATTATGTGTAATTAAAATTAGTTCAATAATTCCAACATTTGAAAATAATTTTTATGTATGTTTTCTGATTTTTCTGATTATGCACTCTCTGGATAAAATTATAGAAATGTCTGTCCCACCAGCCAGCATGACTCAGTGGTTAAGCATCAACCTATGAAGCAGGAGGTCACAGTTCACTTCCCAGTCAGGGCACATGACAGGGTTGTGGTTCGATCCCCAGTGTGAGGCGTGAAGGAACAGCCAATCAATGATTCTCTCTCATTGTTGATGCTTCTATCCTCTCTCCCTCTTCCTTCCTCTCTGAAATCAATAAAAAATATTTTTTAATTAGAAATGTCTGTACCCAACTTTGACTGTGCCTGACTTACTCCAAATCGATATTTGATTTAATTTTATTTCCATAAAGAACTTTAATAAAAGCAATTGAATGTGAAACCTGATGTTAGTCTCCTAAGAAATTATCTATAATAATAAAAGCATAATATGCTAATTAGACCAGACATCCTTCCAGACGACCTTCTGGACGAAGCCAGGGCTGCAAGGGAAGCCCAGGTCCCTGGTGCCAGAGGGCAGCCCGTGCTGGCAGCTGGGGGAAGGAAGGCCTACTCTTGCATGAATTTCCTTCATCAGGCCTCCAGTTAATTATAATATTCCTTTCTTATAATGGCAGAGACAGACATCTTGGGACTGTCTGATGGAGAAAGTTTTGAAGAAGTAATGGCAAGATTGCCTATGGGAGCAGTAGGAGTCATCTTTACTAATACATTCTCATATAATTTGAAATTCTCATGGGAAAAATCAATTTCAAATAGGAAGGAACACAGAGACCATACAGGTAACTTTCTAGTTATACAATTCCACTACTTTCTATTGAATTTATGTCATAAGGCATATGTGGGAATAGATGTTAGTGCCGTGAATTTTAATATCTTTATCTGCGATGGTGATGTCAACAGGCCAATGAACACATTTCAAAAATGTACAGTGATTTTGAAGTACATTAACATACTGTATTATGTTGTAGTTTTATATATATATAAATATATACTTATATTTACATATGTCTAGATATATATGCATGTATACATATATTCCATGTTTATAATTTATTTATTGCAGATATGAATTCTGCCCAGATTTCTTCAGGAACCTATTGTATTTCAATCAAAATCATAACAGATATTTAAATATAAATTGATATATTTATTCTAAAATATACCTCTAAAAGGGGCACAGAATAGCCAAGATGCTCTTTAGAAAAGAATGAAGTTGCAAGTAATTAAGACTGTGCTTCTACCATAGTAATAGACAGATAGATCAGTGAAGCAGAAGAGAGAGCCATGGAAGACGTTGCGGGTCAGTCAGGAAAATTGTCTTTCCGTAAAGAACAAAATGAAATTATTTCTTGTGAAATGACAATTCCTGATGAAAAATTAAATGAGAAAAAAATACGCCTCTAAACTTTTCAGAAGTCAACATTGGGCAATGTCTTTATAACTGTGGGATAGAAAATAATTTCTTAAAACAGTTATACATTTTTCCCTTAAAGCTCATTGTTATGAATCATATTGGGAAGATATTGACTGTGGAGTTGCATCATCCTGGAAGAAAGGCTTTGTGGCTCTTCAAGCTGTCATTAATGCTGCTATTATAGAAGTGAGTACAAAAATGTCCAATGCAAACTAGTGTTCAATGCATATTAATGGTATTAGAAGCATGAAAAGTTTCATCAGCTCTGGTCCATGTGGCTCAGTTGGTTGGAGTGTCATCCTGTGCACCAAAAGGTCACAGGATCAATTCTGGTTGGGGCACATACCTAGGTTGCGGGTTCCATCCCTGATTGGGGCATGTACAGGAGGCAACCAATCGATGTTTCTCTCTCTCTCTCTCTCTCTCTCTCTCTCTCTCTCTCTCTCTCTCTCCTTCTGCCTTCCTCTCACTCAAATCAATTTTTTTATAAAGTTTCATCAAAGAAAATATAAATCAATAGCCTTGTTCTTTCATTTACTTACTGGTTTCCTTACAACAAAGTTTACTTAAGTTGCCACGTGCCATAGAAGATATATATAAATAGAAGAGAAATTTTCTCCGCGGAAAAGACACCTTCTCAGGAAGCCAGGCCTAGAATTAAATTCTTGGAAGAGGAGAAGTAGGCTGTCATGCAGGTCTTCACAAAGTCCTTCCTGATAAATGAGCACAAGCATCTCTGCCTAGGACGCCATGGCAGAATGCCTCATTGAAAGGACATTTCACCCTGAAGCTTGAGGGAAGAGGTTTGCTGAATAGATAATGTCATAAAGACATTGCAAGCAAAACATCAGGCGCGGTTAGGCAGGGAGGCGATAAAGCACATAGCAAATTTGGGGAAATGTGTGCAGCTCGGGATGCCTGGAGTGGAGGCTCCAAGCGGGCCAGTGGTGGAACAGGGAAGTGAAAAGTTGGGCTAGCATCAGCTCCACACAGACCCATTACGTGTTCATAGTAAAAGAGATGATTGAAAGAAAACGGAGCCTGTCATCCATGAATATACAAGTCACTGTCTTTCTTCAGATCACAACAAATCACTCAGTGATGGAGGAATTGATATCAGTTACTGGAAAAAATATGAAGATACATCCCTTCGTGAGTCAAGAAGGGACAACCATGGATCTCTACCTTTTCTTCTTCCTTATTTCCTTTTCCCCATTCATTTATTATGTCTCTATTAATGTTACAAAAGAGAGGAAAAGGATGAAGGGTTTGATGACAATGATGGGTCTTCGACATTCAGCATTCTGGTGAGTCAAGTGTACCAATAAATAAAGGTAGGAGTTTAGGGAAAGTGGACTTCATTATGCAAATGTAATGACTTTCTACCTTTTTTCCTATGAATGGGATACATTGTCCTTAGTGGAATGCTTGTGAGGCTGAGGCTAGGGGTTAATATGCATGTAGAAGAGAGAATATCAGGTTTGGGTTTTTGGGGAGATTGCAAAGCAGGGGTCCTGGGGGATGGCCACTGAGTCTACAGGAAAGAGTGTGGTAGAAGTGATAAATGACAATGCCTAGGCCAGAAGGGGAATGCAAGCCAGGGTGAGGCTGAAAGGGGAAAAAAGAGGTCAGGGATCAGAAGCCCTTTTGGAGATCAGGTATGATGGATATACTTGAGGGAGCAAACTGGCAGAACAGGGTGGTTTATAGGGGCTGGGTAATTGGAATTTAAAATGTCACAAGTTGAGCTCTTCCAGGTATGTTTGAATCCGCCGTAGTTCCTTTCCAATGGAACACGAAATACTAAAATAACATTTTGTTTCCACATTAGGCTCTCCTGGGGTTTGCTCTATGCTGGTTTCATCTTCATCGCTACCCTTTTATTGGTGCTTATTATAAAATCTATCCAATTTGTCATTTGGACTGGCTTCATGGTGGTCTTCACTCTCTTTTTCCTCTATGGATTGTCTTTGGTGAGTCAGTGAATTACAGTTTTTCTCATCTGACAAGATTAAGTGTTGGTTTTCAAATAGGTTGTTGTTCTACATAACCCTTTTCTTCCCTGCCTGCTCTGTTTGCATGGAAGTCTGCAGACTGGTATGTGACCTGTAATGCCAGTTTGTACTTCAAATTTCAGATCACCTTTTTGTATTTTATACATAGACTATTAATATAATGCTAATTTTATATATTTGATTTCTTACGTTATTCTGTTAGGAATAATTTATAGAGAAACGTAAACCAACCTAGTCTTCTCTCCCTGTAGATAGCTTTGGCTTTTCTAATGAGCGTCTTGATAAAGAAACCATTCCTCACTGGCCTGGTCGTGTTCCTTCTCACTGTCTTTTGGGGGAGTCTAGGATTCACGGTCTTGTACAGGCATCTTCCTGCATCCTTGGAGTGGATATTGGGTTTTCTCAGCCCCTTTGCCTTCATGCTTGGAATGACCCAGGTGAGAAGCCATCTAATTACTTATTAATGGCATTTGTGAACTATCTTTCTTCTCTGGGATTTTGTTTTTTGTATCACATTATTTACTTTATTAAAAATCAAACACTAGCATCTGAAATTTTTGTTACATTTACTATGCAAACATAGATAAGTGTCTACCCACTGCATCCTGGTGAGATTAGGCATAATAATTACCTTAAACACAACAATTAGAATGCTCTATGCACTGAGTAATAGGAGCAACTCAAATCTCAGAACACGAGACTATAAAATAAAATAAATTATATTTCAATAAAAAATAAACTATTATTTTGCTGTGTGTGAACCCTATGTTTGTCTCCTCTCTGGAATTTAACTGTCTGTAGTCATTTCTATGCTCAGTATTGTAAGGTATAAAATCCTAATAAAGACTATTTGTGAGGTTTTAAAAGCTTTCGCAGCACTTAGCCCAGTAAAATAAACCATAGGTGAGTGAAAAAATGGAAGACCAATATATAATTCTTGGAGTGTTATTTTTGGCAGCTAATTAAATATGGACATGATGTCACAAATCTAATACTAAATAAATCTTCCAGTTCATATTTTGACTTAGTAATTGAACAGCACGCATGATTGTAGAAACCATTCAAGAAAAGTCAAAGTTAAAAACACCTTAAAAATGCATTTAGTAAATTACATTTCTGTTCATAAAATGTCAATTCTCTTGATCTGATTCTCTCATTGAACTTACTTTGCCATTCTTCCAATTAATGGTCATGTCACTCATTACAGGTCCGTTATTTAGTGCTGAACACAAGGACTGCTTGTTATAAAGTACTCATTAGCTTGAACATATAGACCAGCCCACTCGTTCTTCAACACACCAGCGATCTTTCCAAGAGCATGAATTCTCTCTCAGGAGACATTTTCAAAGAACACCACACCTTCCTTCCATGTTCTATTTGGAAAAGATTTATTGAAGGCAGATCTCAAATGTCATCTTTTCCCATACTCCTCTACCTCCTCCTAACACTCCCATTTCATTGGGAACATATTTTAAACTTGCATTGTAGTTGTTCCCGTGCGCATGCTTTCCAATAGATTTGAGAGTAAAGTAGTCAGTTTTATTCAACTTGTATTCCCGGTATGGGTCAAAGAGTGGCATATTTTATTTTTTATGCTAAACCTGTTTTAACATTTATCATAAGCCTAATTTCCTTTAATTAATTTCCTTTTAATTTTCAGCTCTTACGTGTGGACAATGATGTGAATTCCAATGCATTTCCTGCTTTTTCAAACTACTCAAGTCAAATAATAGCAGCACATTTTATGTTGGCTTTTGATATTTTCCTCTACCTGGCATTGACGATTTATTTTGAAAAAATTTTGCCAAGTGAGTAGTGACATGATTAAAATCAAACATCATTTAAATAATTTCGTTTCCTAAAATGAATCTCCTAACACGTGTGGTTTTTATTTAAAGAACTATCTTGTGCATCAAGGTCATTGAAGTCAACAAGGTTATTGCCAGTGACCAAATCAGTTCTTTATTTCTCTCTGGCTGGTTTGACTGGACAGAACTAAAGCCTGAATTTTGCTTATAGAATGATGAGCCTTTGTCTGAACTTCTCTCTACTCTGTGTGTGGCTTGTTTCTTTTTTAAGAGATGCTTAGGATGCTAGTTCCTAAGTGGGTCTGGCTAGGTACTTAGTCATGGAAATTTATAGCTGCTTTGTCTAACTATTTAGCTCAGTGGTTCTGAGCCCTGGCTGTACATCAGAACCACCTGGGGAACTTGAAAAACCTTCTAAGCCCAGCTCAACTCCAAGAGATTATAATTCATTTTATCAGTGGTGGGACCAGGGCACCACTATTTCAAAAAGATCTCTGCATATTTTCACAATAGGAAAGTCAATAGGTGATCAATCCTCATTTTTATCAACCTGCAACACAAAAGAATATGAGTGCCACAAAAGCAGGGCTCTGTTTTGTTCCCAGATAAACCCCAAGCACTCACCTCAGTGCCTGGTGCATGCCAGGGACTTCGTAAGTACTTGCAACTGAAATACTGCTGCATTTTTCCTTCCTCCTTTTATAATGAAAGGCAGGGGCTGTGTCACCTCTGCATTTCCCATTCAAAACAGAACACCAAGGGCCTTTATTATACATTTAATCCATTTATATATTTGAGTATATATCCAAAGGAAATAAAATCACTATCTCAAAGAGATCTGTACTCCCATGGTCATTGAAACATTATTCAGAGTAGCCAAGATATGGATATGGAAACAACCTAAGTGTTCATCAGTGGGTGAATAGATAAAGAAAATGTGCTGTCTGTATGTCTGTCTATCTATCTATCTATCTATCTATCTATCTATCTATCTATCTATCTACCATGCAATATTATCCAGCCTTTAATGCTGCCATTTACAACAACATGGGTGAATGAGCATGGAGGACATTATGCTAAGTGAAATAAGCCAGACACAGAAAGACAAATACTGCATCTCACTTATACATGGAATCTAAAAAATGTTTAACAGTAACAGAGAGTCAAATGCCGGTTACCAGGGTTTGGGGACAGGGGTGAGTGGAGAAAGGAGAGATGTTGGTTACGGGGTACATGTGTTTATTTATAAGATGAAGTTCTGGAGATCTAATTTACATCATGGTAACTATAGTTAGTAATAATGTATTTTATGCTTGACATTTGCTAAGATAGATCTCAAGTGTTCTTTCAATACACACACACACACACACATACACACACACACACAAATAGAAATGATGTGAAGTGATGGATATGTTAATTAGCTTGATGATGATAATTTTTTTCAGGTTTTTCCACTTTATTTTTAATACAGTTTTTATTGTTGATAGTATTATAGGTAGCTCCCATTTCGCCCCCTTTTGGTCCCCCCACTCTTTATCCCCCCCAGACTCTACCCACCCACCCCCAGTCATTATTTCACAGAACATCACATTGAACACCTTAAATATATACAGTGAGTGGCCAGATTATTATGACCACCTGACATTTGTAGGCAAATTAGCCGTACACTGCATCATATGGGATATGGAAGCCGAAGGCCTGTTCGAACACCTTTGCTGTCTGCAGTTACCAATATAAAAAGTCTCCAATTCACACAGAACACAAGGATTGGACAGTCAAGCATTGGAAAAAAGTCATGTGGTCCGATGAATCACGTTTCCAGTTGCATCATGCAGATGGCCGAGTGAGAATTGGGCGGAAACAGCATGAAAGCATTCACCCCACATGCATGAGTACAACCCTTCAAGCTGGTGGGGGCAGGGTTATGGTTTGGGGCATGTTTCCCTGGCATGATTTGGGCCCTTTAATTTGTGTGGAACAACGTCTGAATAGCACAACATACCTAAGTATAATTGCTGATCAAGTTCATCCTATCATGTTGATGGCGTATCCCAATGGAGATGACTTCTTCCAACAAGACAATGTGCCATGCCACGGTGCTCATATTGTGCAGGAGTGGTTTCAAGAACATGAGGGAGACTTTACCTTGCTTAGGTGGCCCCCACAATCACCAGATCTCAATCCAATTGAGCATTTGTGGGACGAAGTTAAAAGAGCTATCAGGCAGCTGGTTCCACAACCATCAAATCTCACAGAACTGGACAGTGCTATTCATCAGTGGTGTCAGATTCCTCGCATCACCTTTCAACATCTCATGGAGTCAATGCCAAGAAGAATTGCCGCAGTATTGAAGGCAAAAGGTGGTCCAACGAAGTACTGATGGGGTGGTCATAATAATCTGGTCACTCAGTGTATATAATTTTTATTTGTTGATCGTACTTCAGTAAAGCTGGAAAAATTATGAAAGTCACTAATGGCATAAACACACTGAGTGGGTAAAAACGTCACCAGTGACTAAACACTGGTAGAAAGGGAAGAAGGGAAGGGAGTGAGACTGAAAACGCACAGCATGGTCTTGAAGGAGTGACTTGATCGTGCTGTTTTAGGTAATCCCTCAAGAACAAGAACTACCTCTGCCTTCTAGAAGAGCCCAGAAAAATAGATGTCAGGATCTACACTTTTTGGCTCATACATTTATTATAGAGTTGGAATTAGTTGTAGCATCCATTCATTAAGACTGAATTTAGCCTGGTGTGGCTCAGTGGTTGAATGTCAACCCATGAACCAAGAGGTCACTGGTTTGATTCCCTGTCAGGGCATTTGGCTGAGTTGTGGGCTTGAACCCCAGTAGCGGGCCTGTAGGAGGCAGCGGATTGATGTTTCTCTCCCATCAATGTTTCTATCTCTCCCTCTCCCCCCTCCCACTCTCTCTCTCTCTCTCTCTCTCAAAAAAAAAAAAAAAAAGACTGAGTTTAATCCTGAATTTAAACAAGTTGACTTTGTTAGAAATTCTTTTAAAGATAAGAAATATCAATGTGAGAAAGAAAAATTAACTAGATAAAATGATAGAATCATGTATTAATAAATCTCATGGCAGAATGTATTCAATTAAGCTACATGCTTTTATTTGCTAGGCTTCCTAATCCAGGGGAAAAGATGGGTACTAACTAATAATATACCTACGACAGGTATGTAGGGAGTGGTCGGAATATATTTATTGTGTGGATGAATGCCTGAACATGTGAAAAATACACAGAAGTTTGAAAACCCATCAATCTTACAGTGGAAGCCAGTTGCAGAATATTAGAGAAAAATAATTCTTCCATTTCATAATGTCCATTAACATGTCAGAAAACAGAAGTGATAATTAAGTGCAAATGTACTGTGGATTCATTTCTAGAAAAAGGTTCATGGATAATGCATTCTTAATGCAGATCATAAATTTGCTTCAGAGGAATGTTAGATTTGGAGTTGAGATAAGGCATAAATACAGATTAGCTTTTGAAATTCCACTCTGTGTTCATTTGCCACAGTCTCCCCAATTCTGTCACTTATTTTTATTAAATCCTAATCAAACTTCTCTTGCAATATTTGTTGATTTATATGCAATAGTTAGTCCTCAAGTCTTCCTCCTTTGCCAGTGTTGATAGAGTTCAGCATGCCCGACCTATCTTGCATTTGTCTTGCAATATCTGATGTTCTTGAGGTTAAGAAGAGTCTTAACATTGATTTAAGTTCCTCCAGAATTTTTAAAAGTCACAGCTTCAGTTCTTCCCAGAGGAACAATAATTATAATAGAGAGATATCTTAGTGATCTTTTTTCTCCTTAAGAAGCTACATATATCCAAACATGTATTTTTTTGTGTTGACCATGTTTCAAGTTTATTGGCAGAAAGGTTGCATTGCTATGCTGCATTGGGGTGACTCTCTCCCTTAACGTGGTGATTGACCCAGAATCTGTCTCCTGGCCACATAGATGAATATGGACACCAATACTCACCCTTGTTTTTCCTGAAGTCCTCATTTTGGTCACGACAACGTAATGCTGATCATGTGGCCCTTGAAGATGAAATATATTCTGATCCTTCATCTAATGACTCTTTTGAACCAGTGTCTCCAGAATTCCATGGGAAAGAAGCCATCAGGTAACAAGGATGCAGATGGAGAACAGGCCAAAGAATGAGGAGCTAGTAGTTCACACCTGAGAGAAGCCAAGTTCTCTCTAGTGCCCTATCGGTGGCTCCCATCGAACCTCCTCCATGCTACATTCATCACTTCCCACTTCAAGCTGAAAAAAATTCCTTTACCTTTTTTTGTCTTATATTATTGACATTTACATTAAATACAAACTGAGATTTCACCCACAAAGATAATTTGACAAAACACTGATCTGGATTCTCAATCTTCTATCTGTTGTCTTCTCCGACCTGAGCCTCAACCTCACTCTTTCCTTTGCCTGGACTCATTTATTCACACATGGCTCCCACCTCGTTTATTATATTCCTATATTTTCCTCTCAATTTTTAAACTTCTCTTTTCTATTTATTGCCCTTTCAAAGAAGATGAAAGAGTAGGGAAGAGGAAAGAAGAGAAGACCTAGAGATAGTCACAAAGGGAATTGAGGGAGAAGTGCCTTTTAGAATGTGCTTTGTTCCGTGCTAGGAACTTTTATTTTCAAATAAAAACTTAGGAAGAAATTTCTCAACATCCCTGACTATTCAAATTTTATTCATCCATGTCCAGCATATATGTCAGTCTTCTATGAACTGTCTCAGATTACTCCAGACTACTGAGCTTCTAGAACCATTTCATTTTTTATTTTAATATGTCCCATATTTATCTTCCATACTTATATTTTTCATGTGACCCAAACTAGGTCTAACCTCCAGCAGATCAACTGGGAGCAAAACAATGACTTTACTTGATGTGTTTATATGTTTATTTTAATTTTTCTCTCTTTAGCAGCTCACTCAACTATAAGGACTATGTAGAATGATGGTAAAATGGGATTAAAACAGAAATGAGAAAATCTAAACAGTTCTATATGAATGGAACCTGGATTGTTTGATGAATAGATGACAAAATAAGAAATGTAAATTTGATTCAGTTTATGGATATGTACCTGATAAAATAAAATAGTTAAAATGCCTAGGATTCCAGATCTATTATAGCACCCAGCATGCTAATTCCATTCCTTTCTATTACCATAATCATCATCATAAACCAATATCATCTGATGTTTACTGAATACTTACCAAGAACCAAGCACTATGCACGCAAGATGAAATACTTTACTCATCCTTCAACACAGCCCTAAAGCACTCCAAATTATTAGGTTACAAAAGCCAAAATTTACCCAGAATATGTACATTGGCTAAGGTAACAGCTACTAAATGTTCTAGCTGGGGTGAGCTCAGGTGGGTAGGACTGTAAAACCCACTGCTCTCACTGTTATGATCTTTGCCTCTCTCCCTTACTCCACCCTGACTTTGACTCAAATTAACCAAAGGTATCTCCAGCCTGAGTCAGTAGTTCACAATGAGCCCTTCAGGAATGGATGCCTGTGTTACCTCTTGGTCTAGCTTCTTTGGCTTTGCAGTTTAGAGATGATCCTGGTTTTCTATAGTAATGTAAGGTTCCACCTCAGTCGTTGGAATAATATTATCTGGTGATGTGTTCCAAGCATAGGGAAACTTTAAAACTTGGCAGGTGTCCCAGCCGGTGTGACTCTGTGGTTGAATGCTGATCTATGAACCAGAAGGTCATGGCTCTATTCCCAGTCAGGGTACATGCCCGAGTTGTGGGCTCAGTCTCCAGTGTGGGGGGTACAAGAGGCAGATAATCAATGATTCTCTCTCATCATTGATGTTTCTATCTTTCACTCCCTCTCCCTTCTCTGAAATCAATAAAATATATTTTTAAAAAACTTTGCAGGTGAAGCTAGTGTGCAGCCAAGGCTGGGGGGAAATACCTTTGTTGATTCTCACACACAAGCATGATTGCCAGAGAGTAAATTCCCAGCTTTTCTATGTACTGAAGGGGGCAGATTCATAAATCATGTCAACCAAACCTAGAATGACCAACTGAAGAAAATTGTCATAACTTGAAACCTCTTTTTCTTTCTTTTTTTTTTTTAGAATCAGAAATGTTACAAAAGAATATAAAGGAAAGCCTGATAAAATAGAAGCTTTGAAAGGTACCATTTAGTTATTATATTGATACTAGAGGCCCGGTGCACAAAATTTGTGCACTCGGGGGCCCCTCAGCCCATCCTGCGCCCTCAGTCGGACATCCTTAGAGCTGCTGCGGACGCTGAAGAGGCTCCCACCACCTCCCTGAGCTTGCCAGCCTTGAGCCTGGCTTGTGGCTGAGCAGTGCTCCCCCTGTGGGAGTGCATTGACCACCAGGGGCAGCTCCTGCATTGAGAGTCTACCCCCTAGTGGTCAGTGTGCGTCAATGCAAACAGTTGTTCTGCTGTTCAGTCTATTTGCATATTAGCCTTTTATTATAGGAATAATTTTCTGATTTTCACTCTTTTTTTGCTCTTGGTGAACAATTACTGGTGGTATTTCATATTTGAAATTAGTTATTTAGCCATATGATAAAATTTCCTTTCTAACAATTACTTCTACTATATAAAAGAAAAACTTGATTGTGTTTTCAAATTATATATGTCTTTGAGAGATATTTAGTCTCATACTGAGGTAGCCTAAAGCTATTCTGGGTTGTTTTCTACAAACTCAAATTTTTCTTCGGTAATTCTAAAGCTATTGTAGATATTGCTATTTTTATGTGCAAAAATGTCATATACATGAAAGGATTTTAATCCATATAACAATTTACTGAACTATTAATCTATCATTTATTGCCTAAATTAACATTTAGTCTACAAATATTAATATTCACCTGCCATATAGCAGGCAATATCAATGAACTTAAGCGTATAAGATGCTTCTTGGTTTTAAAACAAATAATTTCAAATTTTCAAAACAGAATGCACATATAAATTTATAAAAGCATATTTTTTTTTACTTTGAGTTTAACAACCTAATATATTCATATATAGAAAACATGGCCATTCAAGGAAATAAAAAGACAAATTTTAGCTCCACAATAAATTTGTAGTTTTTTTCCTACCTCCCTACCTGTTTTCCTTCCTTCCTTTCTCCCAGCCTTCTTTCCTTTTCTTTTTTCTTCCTAGATCTGGCATTTGACATATATGAAGGCCAAATCACTGCAATACTTGGTCACAGTGGAGCTGGAAAATCAACACTATTAAACATTCTTAGTGGGTTATCTGTTCCCACCAAAGGTAAGAGGGTTCTTCTCCCCCAAAGTCAGGCTGACAAATAAATCAGCTGTTAATAATAAGTTCTTGCCCTGGCTGGTTTGGCTCAGTGGATAGAGCGTCGGCCTGCGGACTGAAAGGTTCCAGGTTCGATTCCAGTCGGGGGCATATACCTTGGTTGCAGGCACATCCCCAGTGGGGGGGAGGGGGTCAGGAGGCAGCTGATCAATATTTCTCTCTCATCAATGTTTCTAACTCTCTATGCCTCTCCCCTCCTCTCTGTAAAAAAATCAATAAAATATATTTAAAAATAATAATAATAAGTTCTTGTGATTATTAATCACAAACACAGATTACCAGGGAAAAACGGAAGTTAATTTATAGTATTCTATAGAGGTATGTAATACTTAGTGGGTATATATGGAATTTGATTATTTCATGATCATTATTTACATGGTCCTTTGGCATTCCAACTTGTATCTGTTAGCTTTTGCTGCACAACAAGCATTCCCAAAGCTAATAGCTTAAAATAAAAATGTTTGCTTATTTCTCATGATTCTGTGGGTTGGCTGGTGGTTTTTCTGTCTGGATTAAAATAAGCGGGGCTGAACGCTTTAGCATAGCCTTACTCACACATGTGGGGCTCTAGTTAGGACCACAGCACCTCTCTTTCTACATCTCCCAGGAATCTAGTTAGGGATTCTTCATCTAGTGATGCCCATGACTCCAGAAGCAAAGAGAGGGCAACCCCAGGGTGGAGGCACTTTGCAATCCCTGCTTATATCACATCTGCTAAAATTCCATTTATCATAGAACCACACCTAACTATGAGGGGAGAATAAATAGACTACATCTTAATGGAAAAAACTGCGGAAGGGACCTTTCTCCCACCCCATACACCACACAACTAAAATGGAAGTTCACAATACCTGAGTTGTATAAACCTTGAAGATAAAACCATATTATCTAGAATGCAATAAATAACTCTATAGTGGCTTTTCATTTAGAAAAATATCTTAAGTATAATCTGATGTTAACTTCTAATCTTTGTTATAGGTTCTGTCACCGCGTATAGTAATAAACTTTCAGAAATGGCTGACCTAGAAAATATCAGCAAGCTCACTGGAGTTTGCCCACAGTACAATGTGCAATTTGACTACCTCACTGTAAGAGAAAATCTCAGACTCTTTGCTAAAATAAAAGGGATTCCACCACAGGAAGTGGAACAAGAGGTACATAAAGATATCAGAACTAATGTATTGGTCAAAATGAGAGGGTTAAGTCTATTTGCACTGAGTTCTTATGCTTTCATTAAATTATCTTTGAACAAAGTCATTGTAAGTTAAACAAAAAAATCTAATTTAGGTATTTATCTGAGTTATCTAACATTTATGTATAATTTATATGCCAACCATTATCCTTAACTTTAAATATATTAATTCATTTATTTCCCATAACAATTCTATAAGATAGATGCTATTATTACTCCCATTTTACATATTTGGAAACTGAGGTTTAAGAGAGCAAGTAACTTGACCAGGACTATGTAGCTAGTTAATGTGGAGTGGTATTCAAATCTAGTCAATCTGTCTCAGAATGCATGCTTTCCTGCCTTGTATTTATCAATGTAAAAATAAAAACAGAAAGGAATCTTGTACGTGACACAAATGTTGTCATTTGGTTAGATACAAAGAGTTGTGCTGGAGTTGCAAATGGACAGTATTGAAGACGTCCTTGCTCAAAACTTAAGTGGTGGACAGAAAAGAAAACTCACTTTTGGGATTGCCATTTTAGGAGATCCTCAGGTAAATGAGATGAAATATAGAGATGGATTAACATTTTTAAAATTAAAACTTTCCATAGTAGTTCCAACCTTTTATTTGCAAAAGACATCTATGATAAAATATTTTTGATGGGACATTAAATATAAGAACAAAATCCTAACCACAATGCCCTTGGAAATATAAATAACATGATTTCAACGTGTTTTGTGGAAGAGCCATATACTTTATTGGAAAGATCCTTTTATATACACCCCTCCACTGTAGATTTTCCTATTGGATGAACCAACTGCTGGGTTGGATCCCTTTTCAAGGCATCAAGTGTGGAACTTGCTGAAGGAGCGGAAAATGGACCGTGTGATCGTGTTCAGTACCCAGTTCATGGACGAAGCTGACATCCTGGCTGGTAAGCGCTGGTTTGCTTTAAGTATCACGATGAAGACTTGATGAGTTTTGAGAAATATGGATTGATTATATGCTCAGCAGCTGTATTGTGTAACCTAGTCACCCAGCTCTATCCAGCCGTTGGAACAGCTGGTAATGATATGAACTGGCCCAAGAATCTTACTCCCAACCACTTCTATGTATGTCCTAGGATTTTGCATTACATGGAGGTATGATCTGCCAGGAAACTCACTTATTTTGAAGGAAGAGTCTATATTCAAAGGCATTGGTTGGTCCTTTTCCTCAAAATTGAAGGAAATCAACTTGAAATATTCAAACAATTTTGATGTTTGGTCCATTAAAATGTATAATGTGATGATTCTCTATATTCAAAGATTTATCTGCATAACCTCTCTGACTGGCTGGAAGGGAAAACAATAGTCTAAAGTATATAAATAAGATAAAAATGTGTCTATTTCAGTGAGTTTTTATGAAGCCCTGTATGTGAAAATACAGAAGCTCCTGAATTAGAGTTGGATCACGCAGACAATGACCTATCTTTTTTGGGGAAAGAACGGTCAACTTCTTGACAAACTTTCTTCTTTGCTTCTTCCCTTTCAGACAGGAAAGTGTTTCTCTCCAAAGGGAAGCTGAAGTGTGCAGGCTCAAGTCTGTTTCTAAAGAAGAAATGGGGGATTGGGTATCACTTAAGGTAAGGCCACTTGAGGCTGGAGAATGAGAAATGGGCTAAAGCAAGACATGATGCTTGAAACAACATATGACAGCACACAATGAAACCTTTGATTATTACATACAGATGTTGATGTATACACATATACACAAATAAAAATAAGGAGATGTATAGCCAGATATATAGAGAGATTAGAGATAGAGATATACAGATACAGATATATGGAGTATATAGTATGAGTATATGAGTTATTGATTGGCAGATTTTAGAGATTGAGAATATAAGATAAATGGGGGATAATGTGGGTATAAGGACACATATGTAATAACTTAATAAAAAAATTTTAAAAAAAGAATATAAGATAACAAAAAAGTTTAGATAAATGTGATAGAAAATATATCTACAACACATTATTTGGTAAGAAAGGTATGTATTAAGGGAACTTTCTCAACTGACATTGTATTTCACAACCTCATCATCTCTCACCCAGGGTTTTAACAGTCTCTTAAGCAGACTCCTTGTTTCTTCTCTTTCCCCTGGCTCCTCCTCTTCCCTCTTGTTCTTTCTCTCCTGTCCATCCTCTTCATTTTATTTTTATTACTATTTTTAGATAGTAACATATTCTGTTATTTATTGATTGATTCAAAGATAAGATGCTTAACATTATTGTAGTTCAATCTTTTACTTTAAGAGGTCAGCACTATATATAATCTGATTTTTTTGACCTCTTATTTCATGTTTGGGTGACCTATTTCTTGCATTAGATTTTATGTGATTTTTCTTTGTCTCCTAGAGACAAGTAATTTTCTTCATGCAATTGGAGACAATGTTAGATAACACAGATCTATTTTTTATCACCAGTTTGCAGTTGAATGAAACGTGTGTTCAAGAAAAAATAACATCCATTGTTACAAAGCACATCCCTGATGCCCAATTATCAGCAAAAAGTGAAGGAAAACTTGTCTATACATTGCCCTTGGAAAGAACAAATAAATTTCCAGGTAATGTACAAGAATATCAAGAAATGAAATACATAAATGTTATTCATAAAAATAATATCAATGATAATTACTGTAACTAACATTAAGAGCATACAATGTGTTCGGGTATTTAAAACATGAGGTAACAATAACTAGACGTTCACCTACAGTGGGAAATATTATATTCTAATTGATGCACTATGCTTATTTTGACTTGCTATTGTGTATGTGTTTTTTAGAACTTTATGAGAATCTTGATCTCTGTCCTGACCTGGGAATTGAGAATTATGGTGTTTCCATGACAACCTTGAATGAGGTGTTCCTGAAACTAGAAGGAAAAGCAACTATTGATGAACCAGGTAAATAAAATGCATGAAAATGATCATGTAAGGATATTCATAACACCTGATTTAGTATATTGTTCAAGAAGACACCATTCCAGGCCCTGGCTGAGTATCTCAGTTGCTTAGATCATCATCTCAATACACCAAGATTGCAGGATGGATCCCTAGTCAGGGCACATATAAAAATCAACCAATGAATGCATAAATACGTGGAACAACACCTCTCTCTCTCTCTCTCTCTCTCTCTCTCTCTCTTCTCTCTAAAAACCAATAAATAAAAAACTAAAAAAAGAGAAGACACCATTCCAATAACATCATTCAGTAACATGATTACAACATGTGGGGTTTCATGATTAAGGCCATTCTTGGACAAGAATATATTAAGGTGAAGTGCTTCCCTGTCATTTTTGTTACCTCCATTGCCAATTTTGCCTTGATATTAAAAACAGCCCATTTTCTTCTACCCAAGGCTCATAGCCCTCATTGTATCCCATTTTCTAAGAGCAATTTCAGATGAAACACTTATTCTAAATCTCTCTCCAAGCACTTTGAATGTGTCATCACGCTGCCTATTGGTCTCCATGGTTTCTGATGAGAAGTCAGCTCTAGATCTTATTCAGGATTTCTTTGTATGATGAGTTGTTTGTCTCCTGCTGCTTTCTGTCTTTGGCTTTGACAATTCAACTATGATGTCTTTAGGTGTGGACCTCCTTCTGTCTATCCCCATGGTCGGCAAACCGTGGCTTGTGAGCCACAGGCGGCTCTTTGGCCCCTTCAGTGTGGCTCTTCCACAAAATACCACGTGCGGGCACGCACATACAGTGCGATTGAAACTTCGTGGCCCATGCGCAGAAGTCGGTATTTTGTGGAAGAGCCAGTATTTTGTGGAAGAGCCACACTGAAGGGGCCAAAGAGCCGCATGTGGCTTGCGAGCCACGGTTTGCTGAGCCTCAGTTTGCTGACCACTGGTCTATCCTATGTGGTATTTGTTGAGCTTCCTATACTTGTAGATTAGAGTTTGTCATCACAATTGGGAAGATTTTAGCCACTATTTCTTCAACTATGCTTTCTGTCCCTTTCTCTATATACTAAAGCCCAATTTGTCTAATATTAATACAACTAGAGGCCCGAAGCACAAAATTCGTGCAAGAGTAGGCCTTCACAGCCCCGGCTGCCTCGGCCCTCACAGCCCCGGCTTAGTCCGGAAGGTCATCCAGAAGGTTGACTGGACGATCGTTTCACTGTTCAGCCATTTGGTTGATTTGCATATTATGCTTTTATTATTATAGATTGCTTTAATTTTAATGTAATTTATGACTTTAAAATTTTTTTCAACCTGTTTGTGCTTTTCATTTAAAATGCACTTCTTATAAACAGCATATCGTTGAATTTTGCTTATTGAGACATTTTACATTTCTTATAGTGGCATGTTTAGTTCATTATTTTTAATGTGGTTGTTGCTATAGTTAGGTTTAATTTACAGTTAACCCCCTAGTTTGTAGCATGTCAATTTGTAACTTGTTTCTCTAGGTGAGCACCTAAGATAATTGTTTCCTTTCCCAAGTTTCCAAGTCACACCTAGGTGCTATGATGATCTTGCATACTTATCTTAACCTCTTTAATATATTGTCTGTGTCCATCTAAGATTTTCTTTCTGGTCCTTTTGTTCCAGTGCCTACAGTATGAGGGGATGTTATCTGTGATGTCCTCCGTACAACAAATGCCTATAGTAAGCTCAATCAAGTCCATCCGAAGTGGGCTTTTTATGCATTGCTTATTTTGTGTTTGGCAGGTATTGCCACATCTGGGGGAGGACAAGCAGAAGGAGCTGGAGACACAGAAAGACTTGTTGAGATGGAACAAGTTCTCTCTTCACTTAGTGAGATGAAAGAAACAGTAGGTGGCATGGCTCTGTGGAGACAGCAAATCTGTGCAATTGCAAGGGTCCGCTTATTGAAGCTAAAGCAGGATAGAAAATCTCTTTTATCACTGTGAGTATCAGAGTGCCATAGCTTTTGGTCAGTCGATGCATTAACAAATATTAAGGCTTAAAGACAAGAGAAAACAAACAAAAAATAAAAATAAATGTCTGCATCTGCAAAACTGGATTCAAGGGCCTTGTTTTTAGCTACTAGCAGGCTATCAAGTGGAATTTATAAGGTCTCACAGTCAATTGTAGGGGAAAAGCCAATTGTAGGGGAAAAGTTCAATTAATGTAAGTTTTCGTGTAATATTTGCTCTCCTTTATTCGTGTTTTTTTTTTTTTGGTGTGTGTTTTTGTTCATCCTCCCCTAAGAATATCTTTCCATTGATTTTAGAGAGAGTGGAAGGGAGGAGGAGAGACACAGAGAGGGAGAGAAACATCAATGTGAGAGAGACACATCAATTGGTTGCCTTCGCACTCACCCCAACCAGAGATCAAGCTTGCAACCGAGGTACATGCATGCCCTTGGCCAGAATGGAACCCTGAGCCCTTCAGTCTGCAGGCTGACGCTCTATCAGCTGAGTCAAAGCGTCTAGGCCTATTTGCTCTCCTTTAGATTTTCTATGGCCGGTGACAGAAACATTGGGATGTAGACCTTATTTCCAGCGTCCATATGCCAAGGTCTCATTTTAGTTTTTATCTAGGCATTCTACTGACTCAGCCCTAGCAGTCCTGACTCTCCCCTTATGTCCTACTTGCTCTAACCTAGATGTCCTAACTTCCCTCCAGCCCTCTTAAGTGATGGTAGCTCACTCTCCATACATACTGTGTGCATAATGGGCACCATCGCTGCTCCTAATAATCATGTCACCTCTCAGTAGCACCCTGGTGTCCAAGGGTATCAATCAGTGCCTTGTCTATGAATACGTGGATGAAGCATCAAAGAAATAGGATCTCAATAAGTACTTGCTAAATAAATAAGTAATGAGAATTCATTGAGAATATTTGACTAGGAGATGAGCATGATTTAACAAAATCTTTAAGCTTAAACTGGCCATACCACATAACAGTGTCTCCAGAGATGCCAGTCCTTTAGCAAGAATTGCAATAAGATGTATCATAAAATTAGAAATTAGGAATGGAGAAAGGTTCCAAAATAAGATATCATGAAAATATAACAAAAATTTTTTCAACTTATTGGAAATGGAGAGCACAGGAAAATAAAGAGTAAAAAATAATTGAAAATTTGGCCTGGAGATTCAAGAAACCATGCAGTCATCACAGGACTAAGTGAAGAGGATTGGCCATGAAGAAAATTGAGTATAAAGTGTTGGTGAATGAACACCACACTGGAATTCCAGGAAGAGGCAAAATCTGGACACAGAGTTAAAGGACACATGTCTCATGAAATTGTATGTGGTAGCTCATGGCCAGAGAGGAACGAGAGAAATGAACAAGAGGATAAATCTACAATTTATCATCTCTAACTTAGAGATAGGGAAAAGACAAGGTCCTCAGTAACTGACTCAGAGGGCTATATGTTTAGTTTTCATAATTTCTTGGTCTCATTCGATTAGAATCTGCCTAGACTGTTTTAAAAGGTTAGGACATGACTGTGCATTCACACTGGCAATTTTCTTCTGTGTAGGCTATTGATTCTAGGAATTGGATTTATTCCTAATCTGTTGGAGTACATCATCTCGAAAATATATGTTGGCAGTTACACATGGGAATTTTCTCCCCATTTATACTTCCTTGCTCCTGGACAACCACCACATGATCCTCTCACTCAATTATTAATCATCAATAATACAGGTAATAATGTGGTGAATGCTTCGTCTCCAATGCATTCACTATTCAGAGCATTACATAGATAACATAAACATGAGAGAAAAAAATGAGCTTTTTGCTTCTTCAGCATGTGTTCAAAACAATTTATGAGGCTTGGGGATGATGAATAGACAAGCCCAAAATAGAGCAGGAATTAAGAAAGTGTCAAGGAAAAATAAATGATCCGATAACATTTTGCAAAATAAAAAAGTTTATACCCAAAAATACATTTTAATAGCTTGAGACATAATTCACATGCCATATTTATTCATTTAAAATGTGCAGTTTGATGTTTGTTAATGTATTCACAGAATCATATAATCTTTGGTACAATTCTTTTTAGAATATTGTCATTTCAAAAAGAAATCTCATGTCATTAGCAATCATTTCCATTCACTATGCCCCCAGCTCTGATCAATCACAAATTTATTTTCTATTTCTATGGATTTGCTACTCTAGACATTTAATAGGAGTAGGTCCATAAACTATATGTATGATCTTTTTTGACTGGCTTTTTTCACTTAAAATGGTGTTTTCAAGGTTCATCTATGTTGTGTCAATATTTCATTTTTTAAATTGTTGAATAATGTTCTATTGAATGGATATACCACATTTTTTGTTATTCATCAGAGGGCTGATATTTTGGTTGTTTTTCAATAATTGGCAATTATGAGTAATGCTGTTATAAACATACATGTACTAGCTTTTAAGTGAATGTGGTTTTATTCATTTCTTTGGGATATAAACCTAGGAATAGAATTGTGTTATATAGTGACTGTGTTTAATCTTTTGAGGAACTGTCAAACCATTTTTAAAAGTGACTGCATCCATTTACATTTGCACGAGCATTTTGTGAGGATTCCAATTTCTACACACAAAAAACCCAAATTATTAAAAAATAAAATAAAATGCTTCCCAATTCTAGAGCTGAAGTGCTATCTACTGTTCCTAAGTAAAGAATGCTGTGATGTACCTTACAAAGAAAATGTGTGTGTTAGATTAGCTTTGTTCAGGCATGCATTATAGTGCTGTTGGCTGGGAGATCAAGGTTAATGAATCAACAATGAATATACAGAAGCATACATAAAATAAAATAATGCACTGATTGGTTAAAGACCAGAGGCTTACAGAGACCTAAACTTGTGTTTCCCCTATAAGCACTGATCCAGTATTCACTAATTCAGTATGTAGGATAACTTTCTTGTGACTTTATAGAAGTAAGTATATAACTACTGTGAATAATAAGAATCAACTGTAAATGTTTTGCAAATATTTCATCCTGTACATTATCTTTTCACTTTGTTATTGGTATCCTTTAAGGCAAAATGTTTTAGTTTTTATGAAGTTCAACTTATTTTTTCCCTTGCCTATGCTTTTGATGATATATTTAAGTAGGCTTTGCCTAATGCAAGATCATAAACATTTACTCCTGTATTTTCTTCTAAGGCTTTTATACTTTTAGTTCTTACATTTGGGTCTGTGATGCATTTTGAGTTCATTTTTGTGTGTGGTGTGAGGAAGGGATGCAACTTCAATAGATTTCCAGTTATCTTCCTGGGAGGGTCAGGCCATCAAACTTTCCCATTCCCTTCAGCTTCATGTTGCAGAAGCTTGAGACCACCAGAAATGGGGGGCTGAGAGATCTGGAGTTCTCTTCTTACCCATAAGGTAGAAGCTCTAATTTACGGACAAGTGGTTCTCAACATCCTCATCACAGTTCCTCCCTGGAAGACACTGTAGACTGAGTTTGAGGAGGTAGAATCTGAATCCTCCTCTAACCCATTCAGAGGGGAGCTTTTGTTATGCTAATCAGGGAAGAGTTGTGAAGGTATAGGTCTTTGTCACAGTTTCTTGGTGTTCTTACACAGATTTAGTAGATTTTTCTTAAATTAATTTCTTTTTTCATTTTCTGTATGTCTTTAAGATAATAAAAAATTTCATCATGTTGGGGTTTTTTAGTAATTTTTACAAGTTATGGTTGTTTTTCTGGGGAGGAGGTTTATGGAGCTCTTTATATAGCCATTCAACAAGTTGTCTTCCTTTATCAAGAAACATTTTGAAAATCAATTAATAATCTAGTGGTAGTGAAGTGAGACTTAGCCAATTTGGTGATTAATTAGCAGAAATTACCTATGTCATTAAAACCATATTGGTATAGCTACTCATTGAAGTCTTCTTGGAAAAAAATCAATTCCATATGCACCATATAGCAGTGAATAAATATATTATAAAGTAAAATCCATAGAAGTGAGTAGATTTTTAAATTCACAGTAGCAGGCATGTTATTATGTGGGAAAATATCCTCACAGTCCATATTACAGTAAATATTACATAAGATCATTAATTTTCATTTCACTACACAAGTGGACATTGATTTTTTTAGTTTTGAGATACCTAATACATTAAACTACAATTTAGGGGCAAGCATTGATGACTTCATACATTCCGTGGAGCTTCAGAACATAGCTTTGGAAGTGGATGCATCTGGAAATAGAACTGGCGTAGACGATCCATCTTATAATGGAGCCATTATAGTGTCTGGTCATGACAAGGTATGCTGGTCTCCATTTAAGAAATTATCCTAAAGGTGTGCAAAGCTAATAAACTATCAATATACTCTGGCCTTCAATTTAGGAAACAGAATGAAAAACAAATACAGGAATACTGCTTCCATTATTTAGTTAATTGTAGTCATTAGTATGATAAATAATTCGTATATCGATCATTGTCTACCAACACAGACTGTGTGCATTAGCAAAATAAATACTACATAATACCCACTGTCAAGAACATACTTAAGTCCAAAAAATATCTATTCCCTCTCAAGGAAACTTCTGTTTTATTCTTAAACAATAATAATATTTGATTCTAGCCGTAAGCCAGACACCTGGTGTCCTGCAAGCCAGATACCACCTATATACATGTTTCGGTTTATTTAACACAATGTTTGTTTTTGTTCAGATTATTTAACACTGTTTTTAAAACATGGTTTTTAATTAAAGTATTGAATTTTTATTTCTTTAGGGGAAAAAATGAAGATCTCTGAGAATTTATAACCTTGCTTTTTCTATTTTAGAATTACACATTTTCATTAGCATGCAATACCAAGAGACTGAATTGCTTCCCAGTTCTTATGGATATTGTTAGTAATGGGCTGCTTAGAATGGTTAAACCATCAGCACGTATCCAAACTGGAAAAAGCACGTCTTTGCTGGTGAGTATGTACTCTATGACTCTCCTCCATCAGGCATCTCCCGGGTGGCTGGGATTTTATTCTTATTGAGTAAACATCTGCAGGGCAAATTAGCATTTGGATTCATGCAAGTTCTGTGGCTTTGGGAAATCAATGTAATTTTTCAGAACTTCGACTTTTTTTAGAACTAACAAACTATATTTTCAAAGAGAACATGAAGAAATGAAAGTGAAATCGTGCAGTCCTGTGACTAGCACTTTCCTTATCCACACATGTGGGTTTCAAGCCAAAAATCAAACTTCAAAACGGGATTAGATAGTCAAGAGTTTGATAACAAAAGGGAAGGCAGGGTTATACATAGTCTGTTTAATATTTTTTAAATGATTTTCAAATTTGTGTATGCAACTCATTATATTCTTTGTCTTTTCACAAGGTACTGGATAATCCATTTGGATTCATAATGCCTACCTTGCTCTGCCTGTTTTTGTTATCCAGTTGTGCTCCTTACATTGCCATGAGCAGCATCGATGATTATAAGGTAACAATGAGTAACTGAAACTTTCCTTACTTGTTGAAGGTAATATAATTACAGGATTTTTCACATGATTTATACACGTTTACTTGAGCCGCCAATTCAGACAAAAATCCTAAGCTGTAACAATAAAAGGAAGTTTTATAAGTGGAAATATAAATGTATAGATAGAGTCTACAGAATGATTCTAAAATTTATATGAGTATGCAAATAACTGAAAATAAAATAACTTTGAAAAAGAAAAACAAAATTGGAAGATTTATGCTTCTGACTGCAAGGCTTACTACAGTGATAGTAAATAAAAATGTGTTGTATTAAGTAAGGATAATCATATAAATATATGAAATGAATAGACATTTCAGATATAAACCCACACATATGTCATCAATTGATTTTCAATAAAACTGCCAGGGAATTCAAATGGGGTAAGGTTAGTCTTTTCAGAAAACTGTATGGAAAGAAATTGATACTGTTATAAAAAACATGTTCTCGACACTCAACTCTTAGCATACACAAAATTATTTTGAAATGAATCATAGATCTTCTGGTAGGCAAATATTTCTTAGTTGGGACAGAGGAAGCATAGACCATACAAAAAAAAAATGTTATCTTGACCTTCATCAAAGTTCAAACCTTTTCTTCTTTGTAAAACACCAAGAAGCAAATAAAAAGCTGTAGGCTGGGAGAGAAATATTCACAATGCACATATATAACAAAAGATTTGTGTCAGCAATATAAAGAGTTCTTACACCCCAGTAATAGAAGATAACCTAATTTCAAAGATGGGCACAATGTTAAAACAGATACCTTACCAAAGAAGATATGTAGATGGAAAATGCTTCCATTAAAAGATGGGTAACATCTTGTGTAACCCAGAAAATAACCCCAATGAGATTCCTTTACACACCAAATAAAATGAATACATGTTAAAATGACTGACAATACAGAGTTTGTGAGGGTGTGGAGAAACTGGGATTCTCTTGCATAATCCACATTTTCTTAAACCTCAAGTTGAAATAGCATCTGTATTTTTGCTGTCTCCTGCTCAGAACAAAGTGTGGTCCCAGCTTCGGATTTCCGGGCTCTTCCCTTCCGCTTACTGGTTTGGGCAGGCGTTGGTGGACGTCCCACTATACTGGCTGATGTTCCTTCTAATGTATTTGCTGGATATCATTTTAAGCTCCAGATATTCTATAATTACATTTTTAGATCCAGCTATACATGTAAGTTACAACATTCATCGAACAAATATCATTGTATGACATAGTTAGAAACTTTGAAGATGCAAACTGTTTTCATTGATATTCACATAGTCATAAGTTATTAATAACTATAAGACCTGGTGCTGTGCTGATGTTTTGAATCTTAAATGTTTTCCGAGATTGCATTTGTCTTTAAGTAAAATGTAACATCCTGTTTATTTCAGATCCCATGTGTTATTGGTGCTGCCACATCCCTTATTTTCTTTACCTATGTAATTTCGTTCATTTTTCGCAAGGGGAGAAAAAATAGTGGCATTTGGTCTATGGTCTACTTTGTCGTAAGTATGTTTCTTTTGAACACGTATTTTATACATGTAATATATGATTCTGAGATAGTACTTTAAATTTGCCCTTGGCCCTAACCGGTTTGGCTCAATGGATAGAGGGTCGGCCTGCGGACTCAAGGGTCCCAGGTTCGATTCCGGTCAAGGGCATGTACCTTGGTTGCGGGCACGTCCCCAGTGGGGAGTGTGCAGGAGGCAGCTGATCGATGTTTCTCTCTCATTGATGTTTCTAACTTTCTATCCCTCTCCCTTCCTCTCTGTAAAAAATCAATAAAATATATTAAAAAATTTGCCCTTGGTAAAATACATTAATATGAGAGTCTAACATATTTAAAGTTTCCTGCCTTAGATATGGAGCCTCTTCAAAATCTGCCTCTTTCCCTCTCCCTATTTCTACCCGGTCTTTCTTGAAAAGTAGCCACATTTTTCTCACCATAAAATATTTAACAGAAGGAAACCTGGAAACCATCTGTATTTTCTTTTTACTGAAAAGGAAATAACCCCAAAGATCTCCATGACGCTATGCAAATACTGTAACCAGCTTAGTTAAAACTAGAAGCAACTTCTCCAACTCTCTACTAAGAATTAATTCCATAAAGTGACACTTAATTTATCTAAATTAGGAGGAAAATATATGTAATCTATAAGCATCTATTCTAATTTCCTGTCGTCAACCGTTTTAACACTGAAAGAGTGCTCAAAGGGTAAACAGATGAGTAAACAGCCAATTCCTAAAACAGTGATAAGGCAAAGTTACCAAGATACCATCCATCTTTAAAAGTCTAACACAACCACCCTATCTGGTTTGGCTCAGTGAATAGAGCATCGGCCTGCAGACTGAAGGGTCCTGGGTTCCATTCTGGTCAAGGGCACATGCCCAGGTTATGGGCTTGATCCTCAGTAGGGGGTGTGCAGGAATCAGCCAATCAATGATTCTCTCTCATCGTTGATGTTTCTCTCTCTCTCTCTCTCCCTGTCCCTTTCTCTCTGAAATATATATATATATATGATCTAACACAACTGAGTAATAAAGAGGTCTATGAAAACCAGAAAAGGGAGACAGTCATTTATAAAAATGAGAACAGAGATTTCCTTCAGGAAGTGAAACCTGAGGAAGAGTAAGATTTCAACATTTGGAGAAGAATGATGATGCAAATTGAAAAGAGTGGAGGAACAGAAACCCAAAGGGCAGAGTGTCTAGACTAGAATAAGTCCTAACTACTGGTAATAATCTGACATGAATATGGGTAGAAAACAGGCTGCAGCCTGAGCCTGTCCTAGTCGTGGTGAACATAATGGTTGGAACCATGGCTGGCCTTAAACGATGGGCTCAAGAATTTATTCTACAGCCCTAGCCAGGTAGCTCTGTTGGTTAGAGCATCATCCAATATGCCCAGGTTGTGGGACTGATACCCAGTCAGGACACATACAAAAATCAACCAATGAATGGGTGGAACAACAAATTGATGTTTCTCTCTCTCACTCACTCTCATGAGACACCATGGAAGCTAATAATTCAGAAAAGAAATATGATCACAGACACACTTTTAGGAAGAATATTCTGGAAGCCATAGAAGTGATGGTTTGTAACAGAGAGAAATTAGGAGTACAGACACTTTTAGGAAGGCATTACAGTAGTTTAGAAGAAAAAGTCTGAGAGGGTCAGATGTACTTATAACTTTCTCTTCTCCTGAATGTTGTATTTTACTACTTGTACTAAGCCACTCCAGGTTTTTAAATGCTTATATTTATCCATTGGTATAGTTAACAAGTCTCCTTTCATTGTTGCTTTATTCCTATTAGCTGTTCTTTAAAAAATATTTATTTTTATTGATTTCAGAGAGGAAGGGAGAGGAGAGAGAGATATAGAAACATCAATGATGAGAGAGAACCATTGAGTGCCCAAGAGTGCCTCCTGCACACCCCATACTGGGGATCATGCCAGCAACCTAGACATGTGCCCAGAATGGGAATTGAACCGTGACCTCCTGGTTCATAGGTCAGATGATCAACCACTGAGCCACACTGGCTGGGGATTCCTATTAGATATCAATTTCAATTTTTACCTATAATTATTGCTTATATATCATTCTGAATTTTATCTCCCAAAATAATATACAATACCTTTTTTCCTTTTCTATATTTAAAATGCTCTCCATATTAGATCCTAGATTTACCCAGTAAGGTCTCATTCATGATCCTCTGGGTGAAGGAATGTGGCTGAGTCATCAAGAGAAAATGTCCATGGAGATCCGCTCATTTCAGCTTGGTTTTCAGGGTCAAGTGGAAGTTAGGAATATCTCCAAGATGAGCCATCTTAATTTGGAGCATCTATTGATGTTCAGAGTGGTTAATATGCTTTGTTTTCCTTTTTAGATCACCCTTTTATGTGTGGCCATAATTATAGTGGAATCCCCTGGATATATTTTACTGTTTTTCATCAACTTTTTCGTACCACACATCACAATAGTTGGCTGTATCATCTTACCTTTTTATGTAAGTAATGCCACCATCTGCTCCAGTGTCCTGGAACACATAAACAATGGTGAAAGCTTTGCTTAGGGCTGGGACTCTGCAACATGTTCAGTATGTATGAAATTTGAAGATTTCTACTTCATGCTTCCAGCTGAATCTCTCTCCAGATAGGGCAATATGCTCCAACTGAACTGTAATAGAATAGTTGACCCTACTTGATGGGTGGGGAGGAAGAATAATGGGTGGGGAGAAATAAAGCAGCCTTTATACTCAATCTGGGCTCTATACACTCTTGGGCATGCTCAGCTCTAGAAGGGGGCAAATGAAATGTCTCTAATCTTAGGGATTTCAGGATTCTAGAGAAGCTCTCGATCCTTTTTTTTCTAGCTGACTGATACCTATACTTCTACCTATGGAAGGAAGGTACAGTATGTGAGTTAAGGGGTATCCATAGGGAAGAGAAAGGAAAGAAAGGGGACTTATGAAAGGGGCAGTGAGCACCAGCAGGTGTGTGAAGGTCTGTGTGATAAAGGTTAAATCTGCCCCTCTCTCAATGTTTGGGGAGGCTAGCACAACAGACCCCAAGATTCTCTCACCAGGTGATGAATAATTGCTAAATCCTATTGCTTCAAATAAAAGCACAATGGCTCATAAACCTTGGGAGGAAGGAAGACAGCTCCTCACTACACATTGTGGAATGGACCCTTAGCCAGTACTCTTCGGGGGGTATGTCAGGAGGGTTGTTGAAATGGGCCAATTCACATTATTATGGCAAAAACTCACGAAACGAAAATTTTCATGTTTAACCATTGTCTTTGTTTTTGCAGTTTTTCATGTTTTTTGAAAATGATGGAGAGCCCCTTGTGATATTCCTAATTGTAAGAACACATTCTTCTTTAAAATTTATCATGTATTTTACTAACTAAACTATTTTAATCCTGTAAACATAGCAGAACTTTTTATTAGTGTGGATATATAGGTATTTGTAGCCCATAGAGATAAAATATTTGTAAAAATAGAATATTTTTTATAAAAATCAACTAACCAGATACTATGCTTCCCAATTTTTAAGGACACTGTATAACTATTAGAGGAAATTATTTAAAGTAATGGTATCACACAATTATATTTGTTACCTATGTTTCTGTAAACAAGATTAAGAGTAAATTTACTAGTTTCACAGTTTGACAAATAGATTATTGGAAATTGGTAATGATTTTGCCAAATGCATCTTTATAGAAGTCCAATTATTCCTAACTCACTTTTCATGTGAAATGATTTTCTTTTAGTGTTTCTAGTTATGCATCTCTTTATTCCTAGACTTCCCTTCAACTTATCGTCTTGATTTTTATTCTTCGATGTCTGGAATGGAAGTTTGGAAAGATTTCGATGAGAAAGGATCCCTTCTTTCGGTCTGGAAAAATGAAATTTGATTCTTTTATTTCAGTGATCACTGTTTTAAAATATTTGATGCATAAATGAATCTATTAACAAAGAAGTGCTAAGAACTAGAATGGGCTGGGGTAGGAACCATGTGTCAATATAAATAATAGAGATATAGGGACCTAAATCAAAGATTATAAATAGTGGAGCAAACAGACCTAAAACATTGAATATTAAAGACTCTGTCTGACACTGTGCAGTGGAACACTAGGGAAAGTTACATCCGGCTCATTCAGTTTAAATAGCACTTAATGTGAATAGATTGACAGTGACGATGGAATGCAGTCGGTCCAGAATGGAAGAATAGAATGATCAATAGGTCAAAGACAACAATAACTGCTCTTTTCCTGTGGTAGTGAGAAGTCCAACTGGTGGACCATAGACTGGTTCAGTTATTCATGGCACTTCAAAGCTGAGACTGTTCCCATCATTCAATGATGCAACCATAAGCATCTTATTCCCCATCAGTTTCATTGATAACTATTACAGATAGTGGCATGGGAGACTTCCAAGATACAAGAAGACTTTTAAGAAGTCTTCTAAGATCAGTATGGGAGATTTAGGTTGAAGGAAGAGAGACTAGAAGGAAGAGAGTATGAGGGACAGAGTTAAATGGAGAAAAATTAGTGAATCTGACACATATTCCAAAGAAATGCCTAACCTTCATTGGAGATCAAGCATCCTATTTGCATTTGGATGGGGCGTGGAGATTTCACTGGATTGAAGAGAGATTATGATGGGTTATTAATCACTCAGTCTACTCAAGTATAAGATTTAAAGAATGCAGTGTTTTTGATACGAGGATAAAAAACAGAAATCAATTATTAATGGATGGTTTGACTGCAGAATTTCTCCAAGAAGCAGTGATGTACACCAAAATCCAGAGGAGCCCGAGGGGGAGGATGAAGATGTTGAGATGGAAAGAGTGAGAACAGTAAATGCCTTGAATTCCACAAACTTTGATGAGGTAAAAACATACAAAGTAGTTATTTCAACAACTAACACAAATGAATAAAATCAGAAAGCATCTAATTCTCAAATGATTTTACGTTTCTTTAATTCATACAAATGAGGATCATAACTTTATTTTAGCAGGTAGTCATTATTTTTACATCTAAATGAGCACAGATTAAAAAATCATTTTAACTCACTTTGTCTTTCATAGAAAATAAATCTTAAAAATGGAGTGAAATTGAAATTTCTGAAGCCAAGAAAGAATTTGTGAATTTTAGAAACTGAGCTAAGTGACCCCAATCACTGCTTCTTGGAGAAAGGACACTACAAAATGCAGGGCAAAGTCGAGTCCACAGTGTGTTGTTTGTCCTTGGAGGGTGATTTGGTGCTTCTCCAAGTCTCTGCTTCTGTTCTGAGAGATGGGCTGGCTGCATAAAATAATGTGTTCCTGCGTGAGTGCCCTTGTAGGAGAGGGAAACATAAGTGCTAAGATAGGAGAATGGCCCATAAACCTGTCATCTAGTAAGAAGTCTTCTTGGAAGCATGGCTTGTGCAGTCAGGGGCTAGCTTAGTCGGAGGCTAAAGCTTGTTCGAGGTCAATAGAGAGTCTTAAGGTCTGACATAACGTACTTGTCATTTACAGAGACCAGCCATTATTGCCAGCTGTCTACGCAAGGAGTACACAGTGAGGAGGAAACACTGCTTTTCCAAGAAGAAGAAGAAAATCGCCACAAGGAATGTCTCTTTCTGTGTCAGAAAAGGTTGGACACGGAGGCTCTCCCACTGCTGGCTCGGTGCCCTCCTTCGCGCTTTGTGGTTCTTGATGAGAATCATTCTGTGACCACCTCTTGGTTCGCACACAGACCCATCAGTGGGGTGACCTTGACAGCTCCTTTTACATGGCTCATTCCTAGAGAAATTAACTAAGTCATGCCCATAGATAAGGACTTAGTCACATGGGCATGGAAACCATAAGCACTCTATTGAAATAAACCATTGAAACCCCAAAAATGTGCTTTTCTCTGTAATGAACACGATTAATTTCCTAACATTCATTATTTTTCACAAGAAAACAAAAAGAATGTGCCAGCATGTTCTGAAGGCTTGACCGGCAGATGGCACTTGACTTCATTTTGTGACATTATTGCACAGTTCTTAGGATCACAGGAGATGTGTGGTGTCATACACCTAGCTTCCAAGAGTGACTTTGTCACTTCCCATCAGTGTAACTTTGGGCAACTAACCTCATCCCTAAGGGCTTTTGTTCCCAAATATGTAAGAAAGGGTTATGATTACCTCTGGGGCAGGGGGAGAGTATGACAATGAAAAGAGATACTACCTACAAATCACATAGAATACTTGTCACAGTGAGACTTCAGACTATGTTTTATTTTTATTATTAAAATCAATTTGTATTAAATGTGACCTTTTTTTTTCCAGGTGAGGTTTTAGGATTACTAGGACACAATGGAGCTGGTAAAAGTACATCCATTAAAGTGATAACTGGAGACACCAAACCAACTGCTGGACAGGTAGGTGAATCACATGGAAAATACGTTACCTACTGGTGCTCAAAATAAATTTTATAAGATGCCAAAATATTATACACAGCAAATCTCACTTATTCATTAGATGAATGAATTGATTAATGTGACTGAATACACATTACAAATTATCACATTAATATACAACAAAATTAATCACTGAAAGGAAATAATTATTCATGACTGTAAAGGCAATTAGTGGGAATGTCCAATCTCAAAATGCATACAAATTCTATTTATACTGCCATAAAACACTTGGATTTGCACTTTTAATGAGCACTGTCCTCCCAATATAAATTAAAATGAGGGTTTTTTAAAAAAAAAAACAACAACTTTATTTATCGATCATTGTCCTTTAAAAGTGCTTAGTTACTGTAACATATATTTTGGTAGAAATACACTATATTGGGGGAATGATTTCAAGGAATGAATTATCCATCCAATTCAACTGCATAGAAGGCCAGGAAAACAGAAAAAGAGGTGAATTTATCAAAGAAACAACATGAGTTACAGAGAAAACTAAAATTCTATGTCAGGAGATAGGTAACCTTAAGAGCTCCTTTGAAAAGTATGTCAGGGGTGGGGGGAGTGGAGAACAGAGTCTTAAGGCAGAGGTCTGTGCACCTCCATCATGGGAAAGGGGCTGGTGGTCACTCCCACCAAGGGGAAGACCACCAAGAACATGATTGGCAGGTGTCCCAGGAAAGAGGAAGGAGGAAACATATTCACAGTTGCTCTGAAGCTGAGGTGAGAGCAGGTGTTCGTGAAAGGTGCCTCTGGGTGATGTTGGTGGCTCAGTTGAGCCTATCGGGAGTGCTTAGTTCAGTGGAGAGCACCACCTTGAAATAAAATCGATATTTTATTTCTCCTTAAGCATGGGCAAAAAAAGAGGTAACCATTCATTGAGATCTTGGAATGAAATATTTCTAAAGGTTACCTGAGATCTGAATTATAAACCCAATAACCATTTGGGTGTCATGAAACCAGCTTGAATCAGATCAGTCAGTGAGATCTTTATAAAAGGTCATTGTCCTGCTGAAATACATTCAGTGACCTCTCACTGCACTGTGGCTGGAAGGAAACCTCTCCTTGCTGATTCCCACGACCCTCCTATCACATCTCTCTCTTCTCCCCTGGACCACTCGGCTCCAGATCCCCTACTGTAGCCTGGGGTCTGAGAGCACATTGAACACCATCCCTCCACAGGGCTTTGCTCTACCCCAAACTCCTGGCCTTTTCCAGGGCAGGCACCCGGTCACCCTCCTGCTGCAATGGTCCCTCAGCAGGCAGGCTTTCTCTGATCGCCCTACCTAAAGTCACTTGCCCTGAATATCTGTTTGTTGCCAGGTATTTACACTCTGACAACCTTCTTCCAATGCAAAATAGTTGCAGGTGATTTGAGTCCATGAGATCGGAGAATTTCTTTGGTTTTTCTAGGTTTGTAAGGAGAAAGATATCATGGGAACACAGAGGAGCAATGCAGGCCGTCGGGTCTGAGAGGGAAGTTTTCTCTGCAGGTGCTACTAAAAGGCAGCAGCGAAGGGGACCCTCTGGGGTTCCTGGGGTACTGTCCACAGGAGAATGCGCTGTGGCCCAACCTGACAGTGAGGCAGCACCTGGACGTGTTCGCTGCGGTGAAAGGGCTGAGGAAAGCAGATGCCACGGTCACCATCACACGGTACAAGGGGGGAAGGGGTGGGGGGGGAGGGGGGCAGGAGGAGGACACAGCTGAGAGGTCCAGGAAGTCAGTTGGAGTGACAGCCTTCACAGGAAACTCAAGACTTCCCAGGAGACTCAACGCTGACCCAGACCCCAATGGGGAGAGTTGCGATCACAAACTGGTTTCCCCGATTTTAACATGTTATTTTCTTTTCTCATCTTAAATATGGAAAGAACAAAATATGTATTGGTAAATTTATCAAAAATACTTAAATTTAAGTGTAAACTATCATAGGACAGCTATTTGCATGTCATAAAATGGCTTCAAATCTTTTAAAGGGAAAAACTAATTTGGGGGTGGGGGGTGTCAAACCAGTCCATTGTAATGTGGCCCAGCGTCTATGTCAGAACCGCATTTCGGAGCTCTGTTCCCCACCTGGTCCTGCGTGGCTCGCTCTCCCACCAAGTGTCCTGGTTCTCAGAAGCCTGTAGCCCCCATTGTGTTTGCTTCAGGTTGGTGGAGGCGCTCAAGCTGCAGGAGGAGCAGAAGCGCCCTGTGAAGGCCTTGTCAGAGGGAATCAAGAGAAAGGTAGGGTTGGGGCTGGGGTTACCCCGCGAGGCCCACAGATCCCAGATCCATGCCAGATGCGCTGTTCCTTTCCTTCCAGCTGTGCTTCGCGCTGAGCATCCTGGGAAACCCATCGGTGGTGCTGCTGGACGAGCCGTCCACGGGCATGGACCCCTCGGGGCAGCAGCAGATGTGGTGAGGGGCGCCGCCGGGTCAGGGCCAGCGTGGACGCCTGGCAGGGAATCTGTGAAGTGTTTACCTCCTGTGAACATTGTCCCTTAAGCTGTTTTGATTTGTTTTTTACTTTTCATCAAGTTTTTAACGTGTGAAATCTGAGTTCTGTCGGGGACATATACCTACTTATATCAATTTCTTAGGTCAAAGTTGTGGCTACGCACTTTTATTTTTTTTAAAATATATTTGTATTGATTTCAGAGAGAAAGGGAGACGGGGAGAGAGAGATACAAACAAAAATGATGAGCGAGAATCATTGATCGGCTGCCTCCTGCACACCCCACACGAGATGGAGCCCCCAAACCAAGCATATGTCCTGGTTCATAGGTCAACCTCAGCCACTGAGCCATGCCAGTTGGCATGGCTACTCACTTTTGAATTCACAGTTCCAAGCAGCTGAGCCAGCTCTCTGTTCCCAATGAGATAAGTTCACTATCACCAATTCCATCATGATAGTTATCACGTTCTGTTACCAGTTTTTCAGTCTCCGTTAGATTGGGGTTCCGTGAGAGCAGAGATGTTCATGCTCTCTTTGCCTTGAAATAAGTACCCAATTCTTTGCTAAATGAGTAATGAACCATAGTTCTATTCAAATAGTGTGTATTTATCCATAATTACTAAGCATTCATCTCTAAATATTCTATAATCTGATTTTAAATCCTCAAATTTAAAAGGAAACTTATCCAAGGCTTTGACTTATTTTGTGCGAAATCATTTTTAAAATGTGTAGCTTCGGACCATTTATTATAAAAAGCTGGTACTCGTGTACATAACATGATAAGAACTTTTTTCATCCTATATGTTCACTTTTTTTTTGGCTTGGCCTTCTAGTGAACCTTCAGCTTCATTAAAGGGATCGTCTAGGAGGGTTAAAAGCAGAATTCACTGATGCGCATCTCTTATTTTTCCTGTATTGGCAGGAGGGCTTACCCTATGTGAATTCCGTTTCCCATTTTGTTATGTTGGGTTCAAACCCACGTGTAATAGCCACCACTGAAGGCACATTTTGGTAGACTTTGAAGGTGTTGTTTGACTTGAGGCTCCACATACTTCCTGGCTTGCAAAACACAATGGCCTGCCCCAGCTGGCATAGCTCAGTGGTTGAGCATCGACCTGTGAAGTAGGAGGTTACGGTTAGATTCCCTGTGGGGGCACATGGCTGGGTGTGGGGCATGCAGGAGGCAGCCGATCAATGATTCTCTGTCATCGTTGATGTTTCTATCTCTCTCTCCCTCTCCCTTCCTCTCTGAAATCAAGAAATATATATTTTTAAAAAAGAACAAAACACAACAGACTGCAAATCCTGCAGCAGCAATGGTCCAACTGCCACCCCTGTAGCGGCTGTAACTCCAGCTCGGCCCCGGTTTCCCCCGCCTCCCCGAGAGCTTAGCTCATCCCAGCCCAGAGGCGTGGCCACCAACTCCACGCATCTACAGAAAGCAAGGTGGCCCCTTCCCGTACACTGTCTCTTAATACAAAATAAGAAAAACCCTGAATATCATTCGTATAGCCAACACTTTGCAAAAACATCTTGCTATTTCTCATTAAAGGAAAAATAATCATGGTCAGGCCCAAACAGACTCACTCTGAGTATTGTAATTGCTCAATTGATCTTTTAAGTAGCTATGGTGTATCTGTGTAACACGATAAAACACAATCACCCCTTGTCCCACACTTCTCATGAGAATGGTGATTATCATTAGGAATCACAGGTGGGGGAGAGGGCGGGGTTCTGGATGTCATTGTGTATGTTTCCCATGCATATCTTTTCTTTCCATTCAGGCAGGCGATCAGGGCCAGCTTTAACAACACCGAGAGGGGCGCCCTCCTGACCACCCATTACATGGCCGAGGCAGAGGCCGTGTGTGACCGTGTGGCCATCATGGTGTCCGGGAGGCTGAGGTGGGTGTCCGCCCAAGCCCGCACTTGACCACCAGCTGCATGGCTGGTAGAGTTTGTCAGTGGGCAGAGAGGTCACTGTGAAAAACTGGGACCACCTGACCAGGGTCTGATGGCCAAGTCCTGAGACAGTGCTAGCAGCAAATTCCAAGTCTCAAACATTGCACCCTCTCCTCCCCCTCCTCCTCTTCCCTCCAGATGTATCGGTTCCATCCAGCACCTGAAGAGCAAATTTGGCAAGGATTACCTGCTGGAGATGAAGGTGAAGACCCTCGCCCACGTGGAGCCCCTGCACAGCGAAATCCTGAGGCTTTTCCCCCAGGCTGCTCGGCAGGAAAGGTGAGGATGGTGGCTGGCTTTGATCTGCTATCAGATGTCAGTTTTTCCTTGTCAGGTTCATAGAGCTGTGGTCATGCAAGTCCACATGTAGCCCAAAAGGAAACCCTAAAGAAAGAAAGGATTTGTTGGACACTGCAGAAAGTCAACTAGAGAAGAGGTGATGTTGCATGTTATGGTCCTACTATGTGCCAGGTATTGTCCTTGGGTTATCTTATTTAATCCTCCTGGGAACTTTCTAAAGTAGACTATGGTGTTCCAGTGAAAAAGGAGATGATTGCAAAAACTCGTTGTAAGAGTCTGACCTTTACAAGGACCTTAATCCATGAAAATTGGTAGATTGGTTAGGTCACATGACAGCTAATAAGTGGCAAAACAGGGATGTAAAACTGTTTCATTTCAAATCTATTAATATTTCCAGTTTCATTTCAAATCTATTAATATTTCCAGAGTCTGGTCATGGAACAACCCTCATAAAAGTAATATACAAAAAAAAATACAAACATTAACATTAGGGTCATTTTTTTAACAACTGCAATTTAAATGCAGAAGACAGATAATTTATGAGTTGAGGGAAAGTAGTAGAGAGAAATAAGTCATAAAGACAAGGCCAGAAAATATATTTCTACAGCGGAGTATAAATATAAAGTCAGCGTTATAACTCATCGTGCAGCCCACGACTAAATAGAAATATGTCATAGGGGTGCAGGGAATGCGCAAAATGGATGAGAAAGGTTGCTCCATAAATATGTGAAATAGCATCTTTAAGAAAAGAAATCTGAATCTTCCTGGTTTTCAAATGATGGAAAGACGAATTTATTTGAGAAACAAATTATTTTTAAAATGGTTTCTGGACATTATTTGGAGCTTGAATTCCTAGAGATTTCTAATTTCCTAATCAGAGACTCAGTTATGCTCTCCTGTGTTAGGAAAGCAGTTTGAGTAGGAAGGGGAAGGTAGGGTAGCTAGAAATGCTCTGGAGAATAGACTTAGATTTCCGCCTGAGTTGGAAACATGAAGAAACTGCATGGTGTCAGGACCCGGTTGGAGGATGAAGCTAAGAAGTACGTGTTGATCCTAGAAAGTGAGGTGGGCCCTAGCCAGTTTGACTCAGTGGATAGAGCATCAGCCCAGTTGGATTCTAGTCAAGACCACATAGTTCAGTTGCAGGTTGCAGGCTCGATCCCTGGACCTGGGGGAGGCAACCAATCGATGCGTCTCTCTCACATCAGTGTTTCACTCTGTGTGTCTCTCCCCTTCCCATTCACTCTCTCTAAAAATCAATGGAAGAAATATCCTCTGTTGAGGATTAACAAAAAAAAAGTGAGGTGGAAGGTGACTTTGGGAAGTCTGGAAATGTGATTTGCATTGTACCTACTCATCCCCATCTGAGGGGCCAAGGGCACTAACCTACCTACAGGATTCCGATCCCCAGTTTTCCTTGTGAACCTCCTCTTTCTTACTAGTATGGCTTCACCCTCTGCATTTCGCCTACCCCAAACCACACTTACAGAAATAAAGTCCAGAGAGAAGTCTGAGTCTGTTCACGTTCATTGCGGTTGGATCAGTGTGTCTCTCCCCTCCTTGCCTCCCAGGTACTCGTCTCTCATGGTCTATAAGTTGCCGATGGAAGATGTGCGACCTTTAGCACAAGCTTTCTTCAAATTAGAGAGGGGTAAGAGTGATAGGCTTTTAAATAAGAGCCTGAAAGCAGATCATTTCAAATCACAAAATAATCCACCTCCATGACAAACATGAAATGTGATATAATGTGTTAAATTCAAATTGAATGTTAGGAGCACAATATCAAGGAGGTACAGGCATTCTGTGTGCATTTGTAGTGGTGGGGAAATGGGAGTGATTTTTACTCTTCTGAGCTTTTTCCATATCTTTTTGTGTATCTATATTACTATAAGTTAAATCAAAACTCAATCATACATGCATTTAAGAATAATACTGTCCAAAAAAAGAATATTGTCTTTTGGAATATTGGTGCTTACATGTTTAAAACTAAATTTTATGTGGACTTGCATATTATTTTTTTGCCTTGGATTCCATATTAAGAAACTTACCTCTTGTCTAGTCACTAAGATGATCTTCTTGTGTCTGTTGTGCTATAAAACTAACTACACTGCATCTGTCATCATCAGGCTCATGTGGTCCTTGCCATCTGAGCCCATTAACTCTGCTACTCTGCTCTGTGCTAGCTGGACCTCCCTCTCCATCCGTATTCTTTCATTGTCACTGCCCAGTGATATCTTCACTTGCTTGTCAGCTTCCTTGAGAAAGAGATTCGAGTCTCCTGGTTCTAGGAGACTCTTCTTCCTCCTGCGAATAGCATCCATGGTCACAGTGATGCCTCTTCTTTCCATTCTCTGAGCTGAGCACGCCAGCGTTCTGAGCATCCCCTAACTGGTATTGTGGCCGGTACCAGCCTGGTATCTTTGGTGGTATATTTCCAATCTGGTACTGTTGGTGGCATATTCCCAGCCTGCTGGGCTCTTATTGGGGCTCTAACTCCCCTGCCCAGTCCATTTTGGTCAAAGAAAGGGTTTTCTACTTGGTTTGATCAAGCAAGCTGCATGGACGGAAAGAGGTCCATGAGGATTACCTGCTTCTGAGAAAACCACAGGCATCTTTCTCTATAATCTTCTGAAGCAACCCTGTTCCAAATGTGTCTGCCTTCCACCTCTTCCTGTGCTGGATGTGCAAAAACCCTGGCTCACCTGCAGGAAAGGAAGCCTTCTCGGCACCATTTCCTCCCTTAAGTAGACATCTCAGAAACTGTGCGACATAACACCTTTTCTCCAAACTTATGTGAATGCATTGCTGTTCTTTTGGCTGAATGCTGTACTTAAACCATCCTAACGGTTCTTGTCTTCACCTTTTCATTTAATATTTTTTAAAAATTGTTATTTGTATTCTGTGCTGACTTCTAAGGCCATCTGGATATAAAAACATATAAACCCCTAATGTACATCCATCTTTGTGCAGTTAAACAGAGCTTCGACCTGGAGGAGTACAGCTTGTCACAGTCCACCCTGGAGCAGGTGGGTCAGTTTTAGTGATCTTACATCATCCATGGAATAGAACTGTACAATAAGAACATACTCTTTTCACTCTCTTGGAGCTACAGAAAACAGTATGACATCCCTGTCTCTCTATCTCTTATCCCCTTTTAGGTCTTCCTGGAGCTCTCAAAGGAGCAGGAGCTGGAGAATTTTGTTGATGAGCTTCAACCCTCCATGAAGCGGAAGCTCCTCCCACAGGAAGAGGCGTGAAGCCCAAATACTCTATGTTTCCATTCAAGCCTGTGGTTGTTCTTTAAGACATTTATTTTGATAGCATCAGTGTTTGTATTTAGAACCTATATTGTGAACACTGACATGGTTTTTGGTGTGGTGGAGAGGAGGAGTGAGTGCTGGGCAAATGCAGTGACAACAGGGACAGAGGCACCCGACTGAGCCCACCTCCCAGTCCCAGCCTACGTGTGTCTGCAGGTCACCCTGATCCCATTTTTCGTTCTAATGCTGAATAAATAAATTTACATTTCTGAATATGATATACAAATTTTATTTTATTTTTTTATCAAAAACTTAAAATCCTTTTTTTGCTAACCTAAACTGAGAAATCCATATATTTACTTTTCAGCAAGTGTGATACTTTATAAAGCTGATATTTTAATAATAATTTAAGTGAGCATGTCAAAAAGTATTATACTTATTGAAAAATATTTTAATATATATTTTATGGCTAAAAATATGAAAACCTCACTCATTGGTCATAAAATCTGATATCAATATATTTGATAACATTTCCACTGGTAACACTATCAGTCATACAGATCTGGAAAACTGAAAACTTGCTATTAGGAATGTATTATGCTTTTTTATTTTTATAAACCAACAGAGTCCTATTTTCACTGTATTTTTAAATCTTTGCTAAAGATGCTTGTATTATAACATCTTTTATGGACATCTGCTACTTCAGCTCAGAAAGTTGATAAATGTAATAGGTCCAGTGACCAAGTTGGACGAAAATATAAAATAAATCTGTTATATATAGTTTTGAAATGTCTTCTATTTCATGTGTCTTTTTCTCCAGTCTTGGGTCTCCAATTTACAAGTTCATTGCAATCCAGTGGAAAATGATTTCTAATATAAGAGTAAGTTTGCTGCTTTAATCAATGCGCTACCAAAATCTAAACGAAGAAGACACCACACCGTGATTAAGGAAGTAAAAAGTGGTGGCGAGCAGAGACGTTTACTAAACTACTGGATGCGATGACCATGTATAAAATGTAAGATTTTCTGAGTGGAGAGGATCCCCTGAGCTTTCTACCAGTGCTTTTATGTCTTTTCTTCCCTTTCAGAAAATTCTTCTCTGGAGAGCTCCTCTCCCCAACTGCCTTCCCAGGCTCTTGTGTGAGGTCTGTTTATTCATCTTGTGCTAGGAGGGGAAAAAAATGAATGGAACTCAGCTCTTACTTTCAGTGAATGCAGCCATGTGGCACAGTGACTTAGAGCGGGGCCTAAATTTAATCTTGGATCAACCATCTACTCTCTCTGCAGACCTTGTTTACTCCCCTGTAAAATGGAGATCTTGATCTCCTTACCCACAGCAGAGGGTTACCATGACAACCAAAAGAGACAAAGGCAACAACACCACCAAACTGCTGCCTGGCTGTTACCAGTGCCCAGGGATTCAAAGAAGCTCTGCCATGCCCTGACCAGCTCCCTTCTTGTTCCTCTCCCCTCACTTCTCAAGGACACATCGAAATGAACCTGTTTTCACCTCATTCCCAAAGGGCCAGAGGAGGTATCTGGGACTAGTACACTGAACAAACTTCTTTTAAGGGAGGATTTCACATTGTAACCCAAAGAAATCACACAAACTAGGTCAGTGGGAGAGATATCCTGGGACAAGCAGAATTTTAGCACTGAAGTGGCTTTTTATTTAACCCATGGATTCAACCAGCCTCGGTAGCACAGACAACCAGGTCTTTGGAGAAATGAAAATGACAACTGTGTCATACCTGAGCTTAAGTTTTCACCTGCTCTTGGGCAAAGAAAAGCTTGCCCAATTCTTAATACAGCTTCATTGGGACCAAAGTCTGGTATTGGCTTCAAATGATGTATTGCTGCGGGGGGGGCGGACGCTAAAAAAAATGAATACTTTTCCTCCCACCTTCTAAGTTCTTCTAGCTGGACTAATAATCAAATTAGCAGTGACAGATTAACAGGAGAAAGTCAGATTTTAATACATGGGCATGGGGAATTCACATATGCATGAAAATTCCAAAGACACAAGGCAACATTGAGTATATATGTCAGTTTGGACAAAGGAGAAAAGAGGGAGAATGAGCTATTCAGTTTCAGAAATGAGAATGGGAGATTTACAGATAGTTGAGGAAGAGCGGAACACATGTGGCAGGCAAATTCTTGCCAGGCAACTCAGAAACAATGGGTCGGGGGTATCTAGCGAACAGGCCCTGCCTGAAGCCTCCCCACATACCACACTTAGTTCAAATTAGACTAAGATGAACATCGTCAGACTTCCTTTCTGAAGCATGTTTTTCTATCTGAATCTCTTGGGGAGCAAAAGAGGAAGGGTCAATATTTTTCTCTGAGTTTTTTGTTTCTTAATCAACAGCTTAAAATAAAAAAAAATAAAACTCAAAACATTTTGTCCCCTACATCTACAGAGGAAATCCAAGATCACGAATCTGGTACCACACGGAGGATGATGAAATTTGAAATATTTCATGACCAGATGGCAGTTGTTGACATTTCTGAGGCCAATGAGAAAACCTAGAACTAAAAGAACAGATGAACTGCAGCGTTTACCCTCAAACATGTCACAACCACTTATATTTATAGATCACAGAAGACAGGAAACATATTGCTATGCAAAAGATCATTCTTTCTGCTCCTTAAAGCCAGTCTTACTCTGTCCATCCATTTTTAAATTCTTATCTCACTTCTATTCCATAATATTCTTTTAGCCTCCTTTGTTTTGCCTTTTCTCTGGAGGCCATACCAAATTGTATTCAAGAGAAATATTCAATTAAAGTAAATTGGTTGGGCCCAGCCATGGTGGCTCAGTGGGTGAGTGTCAACCTGTGAACCAGGAGGTCATGTTTCGATTCCCCATCGGAGCACGTGCCCAGGTTGCAGGCTCGATCCCCAGTGGGGGTCATGCAGGAGGCAACTGATCAATGATTCTCTCTCATCATTGATATTTCTCTCTCTCTCTCTCTTCCTCCCTCCCTCCCTTCCTCTTTGAAATCAATAAAAATATATTTTTAAATAAATAATAAAGTAAATTGGTTGGCATGGTAGAAACAATACTAGTTAAATAACCAACATCTTTATTTTTCAACCAGATGTGTAATCCTAAGGAAATCTGGTTTCTGTCTCCCTCTCCCAGGCTTCCTCTTTTTCTAGTTTCTATGCTTTTGATTCCTTTTCTGCTCACATGTTTGTTTCCTCTTCTTTCTAGTTCTATAACACTTCCAAAATCTTTTCCAAGATCTTGTTGAACTAAAACTATGGGAGAGGATTTTTCCCACAATTAAAAAAAAATAGTACAGACTTCCAAGACCTGAGAGAGGCCAAGTAATATGTTGAATGAGAGTTGCTAAAGGAAACAGGGGAGATATGAAAATGTCTTTATGATGGTGGGAGCCAAATGTCTCAAGAGACATCCTTTGTTTACTTCAGAGGAGAAGACCATCCACAGCTATGAAAGGACTGAGGGGAAAGATGAAATCATTATCATCACATAATACAGAGGAAATAGCAACATTTGGAAGTGGGGGGGGGAGTAATATTCTTTTTACAAATTCCAGAATTTCCTTACCTTTTTTCCTGGTAATTTAAAATGTGTATTTTCACCTTTCTCTTCACATCCAAGGGGGAAAAAATACTTAAGACTTAAACTAAATAGCGATTCTGAAGTTGAGATCATAACCTTTGGGAGCCTGGATGATTTAAGTCTTGGTTTGGGGATTGAAAGGTCTCTTGTATCAAGGTTCTAAGTAGGCTGAAGCTTCTCTACTGCCATCAGAGACTCATGAGAACTAAGCATAAAGCGTGTGAGTGATTCTTATTATCTTGGTTATTTGAAGTCTGACTCCCTGGACTTGTTAGGGTGGTCTGAAATGAAAGAGAGGAGACTGCACCATTTTATTTATTTTTTTAAATATATTTTTATTTATTTCAGAGAGGAAGGGAGAAGGAGAGATAGAAACATCAGTAATGAGAGAGAGAGTCATTGATTGGCTGCCTCCTACACGCCTCCCACTGGGATCAAGCCCACAACCAGGCATGTGCCCTGACTGGGAATTGAATTGTGACCTCCCGGTTCATAAGTCAACACTCAACCACTGAGGAACACTGATTGGGCACCATTTTAAACTTCCAGCCTCTACAATACTGGAAAGTTCATGAAAGGAGGGTGGAATAAATGTTAGAATCTAATCTTTCAAATGCAACAGAACTTTCAAATATCTCCAACCCTGACCTTTTCCTTGAGCTCTGCTCATATATCCAAGCACTTGCTTAATTTCTCCATTTGAATGTCTAATTCGCATCTCAAACAAAATGTGTGCAAAATAGAACCCTTAATATATTTCCCTTAGCCTTTTCCTTCTCAGTAAATAGCAACATACAGTTGCCAACCTAGGAGCCACCCTTGGTTTCTCTCTTCCCTTCTTCCCTTCAGCTGATCCAATGGTACTGTTGACCCTACCTCCAAACTGTACGCCAAATCCATCCACCTCTTTACATGTACTGTTACCACCATAGTTTGAATGTTCTCATCTAGATTTCTGCATTGGCCTCCACACTATTTTTCCTGCATCCAATCTTGCACTCTGTACTTTATTTTCCATGCAGTGGCCACAAATCATATCATGTCACTGTTACTGAATCCAACTTTGTGTGCCCAACACTTCTAAAGACCAAAACTCAACACATCAAAGTTTGGAGTAAGGAAAGGTTTATTGGTCAAGAAGGTGCCAATTGAGAAGATAGAAGACCTAATGGTGACTCAAATCCGTATTGATCTCTGGGCTAGGTTAAGGGGTTTTGATTGACTAGGGGTAGACAGAAGTACTGGTGGGACAAGTTTTAATTGGAAGACCTTGGAACTTGGCCATTTATGGTAAAAGGCATCAGCACTGGTCCTGGACAATAGACTCTTTGCTTCTGAAAAGCTGTTGGTGTTCAAGATCCAGTTATGTCTCAATCTTTGGTTCTCTCTGTGTTTGCGTGACATGGGACTTTGGTTTCCGGTGCAGCTGGAGGTCAAAGTTCTCTATTTTGCACATGCTACAGCTGCATAACTCACCATTTTGGTCTGTTGTCTCTAAAAAGCGACTCAGCATCTTATTCAACAGAATAAGACTATTTTCAGCTGGTTCTGTGGTTCCATCACCACATCCCTTTTAAAGTCCACCATTGCACTAAAATAGACTCCCTATTCAAGCTTACAGATCCTTCTATGATGTGGCCTCTGCCCACTTCTCTGAGACTCCAGCCACATGGGCCTTTGATCTGTTCCTTAAAAACACTAAGATTGTTCCACCCACAGGACCTTGCATCTGCTTTTCTTTCTGCCAAAAACCTTCTTCTCCCAGACATCTGCATACTTGGCTCTTGATTATCTTTCAGGTCTCAGTCAGCTCAGTTGTCTCCTCTTCAAAAATATCACCCTGACCACCAAACCTAAAGCCGCTCCAAGTCACTCTCACTATTTTCTTTGCTTTATTCTTCTTAAATTATCTAGCTTATTTATTTATTTGTGGATAAACTGTATGCCCCACCCCCTCCAGTTAAAGATAACCTTCATGAGTGTAGAGATCTTATCTTCCTCATTGTTTTCCCATGGCCTGGAATAGTACTTGTCCTATAATAAGCAACCACTGAATAATTATTGAATTAATCAACTGCCTAAATACAACCTCTGCTTCTCTCTGTTCTAGCACTCATTACTATCAAATATAGTCATCTGTCACTAAAGTTTTTTCTTTTCTTCATTGGACTTTTCAAAGTTGTAGAGGAGGAAAAAATAAT